ATTATTGTCCGTATGCTATATATTTCGCGCTCTTTTTTGCGGGCGAACCTCCATTGGTACGATTACGGCAGCAAGGCCTCGATTGTTTCTTGGCCCTCCCCTATTTTCTTTCCATTCACCGAGGACGTGCACGCACTTGCGTGTTAGTGTTATTGTATTAGAAATAGGAGAGCGATCTCGAACCTTTTCTACGCAGTGAGTAAGATGAAGCGACACGTTAACTAATTAACTTAGGTTAGCTATTACATTTTAATTCATTTGTTCATTCATTAAAAATATAAAACTTTGTTTTCCCTTCTAAAATTTTTATTTGAATTACTCAGGTGTGAAGTATACAACCAACTTCAATGAAAAGAAAAAAAAAACTGATGAAAACTTTCACGCGAAATAAATTTTGCTTTTCATCCTTCGTGCGCAGTATGTTATGCCTGCCCGCACGTTCGTTATTCTCCTTTGTCTCGAAGCGTTGTTTTCTCCGCGATGCTCATATCATCTATCTATTTTGTCAAATTCTATTTCCTTTTTGCAGCCTGTTGTCATGGTTACTTAAATGTAATAAAGATAGTAGTCGCACTTTTTGATTCACTGTTACCGCGTCAATCTAATCCATTGTTATCTATGCTCACATGTTTTAATAAGAGTGTGTGATAAGAATGAGAGAGAGAGAGAGAGAGAGAGAGAGAGAGACAGAAAGATAGAGACAGAAAGACAGAGAGACAAACAGACAGACAGACAAACAGACAGACAGGGACACACATACACACACACATACGCACCTGTTGGATTTCACGCGTGTCAGTTGTATTTTGTTTAACTTTATTAAAAGGATTGAAACTTGTATTTTTTTCACTAAAACTTGCAGAAGCTTTTCGCGTCTGACAAGGATACAAAAAGAATCACAGATTATTTTATTGCTTGTAATTTTTCGCGCTGTAGTGTAAACAAAAAAAGTGACCTTTCCACACACGTAAAGTTAAAAAATTTTGTAATTGAGAACGAATACGTCAGATAGAAATAGTCGCGTTTAAATATCGCAGTATGTGACAATGAAAAAACGATTTATTAGATACAGTTTTTTCCTTCTTTATGAGGATTTGAATTCGCAACATGTATATTTAGTGAATACGCCATTTTACGAAAGTTTCCAATTTTCTATATATATTACGCATCGATCCATTATGTATGCCTAATAAAAACACGTATGGGAGTAGGTAGTCTTCCAGAGAGAGAGAGAGAGAGAGAGAGAGAGAGAGAGAGAGAGAGAGAGAGAGAGAGAGAGAGAGAGAGAGAGAGAGAGAGAGAGAGAGAGAGAGAGAGAGAGAGAGAGAGAGAGAGAGAGAGAGAGAGAGAGAGAGGAACAATAAAGGGATAGATTCTTAAAAGCTTTGACACATTTTGCATAAAATATGTTATGGCCGCACGAGCTACAATGCAAAAAATAAATAATTACAGATTATATATTGTAATTTTTGTTATCTTGCTTTTCTGAATTTTCCTGCACCTTTTTAGCTTCGTTAGAGCAACTATTTCACGATATTCCATTCTGTAGGTTAAAAGATATGTATACATATACTTTGAAAATAAACTGCTTTTACCTTTACTTAGCACTCGACCGCCTCTTATCTAATAAAGCTTTTATGTATAAATAATCCACTACTTATTTTTCACTGTACACATAATATACTTAGTATTCGACAATAAGGACTATAAGGAATAGAAGAAAAACTTTTTTTTTCTTTTATTTCGTTTTTAGAGAATAAACTAATGTAGTACTGTTGCTTCCTCTAAAACTCTAAAAACAGACATCTAATAATAGCTAACTGTGTGCGTTTACATAAACGTCACAAGTGAAGGTTATTGTTATAGGGACTATTGTGATAGTTTAACATAATTTTCGGTAAGCGAGAGGGGGGGAGGAAATTACTTACTCTCACTGCGTGAAATTCACTTAGTCGGTAGCCATATAAAACAAAAATTCAATGTTTGCTCTGAAGCTATTAACCCTCTAGCCCGAGAGAGCTCTAGAAGAACTAGATAACATCGAAGAAACTTTAATGAAAAAAGCCAACCCCCATATGTGTATGAACATGGATGAGGGTTGGTTGTTTTGAACCTAACGATTGTACAAAAAATGTTTTTTAATGAAAAGTCTTAAAACACAATACATAGTACATATATACACACTTTACAAATTTTCTCTTTTTCATAAATGTTCTCACGCAGCAGTAGCAACAGCAGAAGCTTTGTCGCGTAGTGAACGCACGCACGGCACGGTTATATAATAGCCACACCATATATAAGCACGATTATTCTTTATTATACTTTCAGCGACACACAGAAAAACGCCTATCAATAAAATTGATATAATGTTCTACTTTTCTTTAAGCTGTCGTACTCTAACAATGATATATCTTTTTATTCTCATCGTATATTATAGTCTTGTAAGGTTAATCGACGCAGGATTCTCTTTTAGGGGTGCATTTCATCTTGATAAACGAAGAACGATACTTTCGCGGATTTAGGTCCATTCATGCTGAAGAAGAGGTATTTCAAAGTTCTCCAGTTACTTGGATAATTTTGTTACACCTTTAATCTTCTTTAGATAATTAAAAAAGCCATTCTTGCTTACAAGATCGAAATGAAAATACTTCTGTAGCGACCCCTTATCTCAGCGCCATTATTCACCGATCGAAGAAACTTGCAAAACCAGCTTGAGCTTAATGTAGAAATATATAAGTCGTCGCTGAATCCACCGTTTCTCCTCATTATAGCGTGAAAAGTTACTTAAAAACTTGAAAACACTCGCGAAAAGAGAGTATACACATTAGCCGTTAATGTAGGATATCAGGGTAAGTAAAAAATAAGAAAGAAAGACTTCGCCTCTTGAAGATACTGGAGTTTCTCGAAATGCACCCCCATCGACGCAGGAAAAAAATACTAAGTTTTTTTTTTTTTAAATCGATCGTTCGCGAATGAATAATTGAACGATTTCTGATCGTTCGTTGCTCGAGCTAACGTTGCTTCCTCCTCTTTTATGTTCCATGTGGTCCCCGCGCACATTGGGATCTCGATTCTCGACTGTGCAGAGCGCAGCTAGAGTGAGTATATATCTCGCGACGCCAAGAAACAAAAGCGGCTACTACTACAACTATTAATACATTGTTTGTTACACTTCTATTTTCTTTTTTTTGGAATTTTTTCACTCTCTCACTTCTGCGTACATATGCGCGTTTCGAGCTGCATGCCAGCTTTTTTTTCTAAGTTTCCACAGTGATACACATTTGAATGCACCTAACGGATGCTTGACAACTCTTTTTACGATCGTTATATATAGGTGTCACTGTGGGAACTGTATGTGGAGTTGGCGGCTAACGTTATTTCAATATACTATTACATTATTGTTCGTACAATTACGCTTTTAATAGCAAAAATATCAGAAAAAAGACAGAGACAAAATGTTACTCGGACGTATCTCATTAAATATTGTTGTTCTTTTTGCTTCCTTTCAACCAGTTTTTTTTTCATCTAGACTTGAAAAATCACATCTATTTTCCCTATCGACTTATGTCCTTGGATTTTTACAAGTCCCTTTTCTGCGGATACGTACGCTTACACTTGCGAGACGTTGATAGTCCTGTCGGAATTGAAAAGATTTACTAAGATACCTCTCGTTTTTCGTCTCTGTCTTCAGTTGCAGTTTCATTGCTTTTCTCATTCGCTTTTATGGGTGTTCGCAATATACTCCCATCTGACTCATATTCATGTATTGTCCTCATTTATTATTGTTAAATATTATATATTACTTGTATATTTATATACGCATTTTATTGTACTACGTTAAGTAAACGAAGAGCCGAATAAAAACTATTTAGGACAGTAACAACTGTATAAATGTTATCTCAATTTTTTTTTCGCTATTATAATCTATGATATATTTATATATTTCACACACATTGTTTAGTAAGATAATTTTACAATACTTTATACAAATACGTTTAATATACAATTTATTTTCTCTATCTAATTTTATGAATGTTTCAAAACTTTTTCGGTGATGCTAAAAAAACACAAATCCGAATACCGTCGCCTAGACGATTAGACCAAAAGACTAAAGGTTTAACTACTGTTACCATGCATCTTTTGTTTTTTTTCAGCTTTATCTGATGCTCCTCCGAAAAAGTTTCGAATGCAGAGCTTACACATAAAATTTTTTGTTGACAGACTCTAATTTTTCTTCACAAGTACGATTACTCAAAAGCACACACGCACGCAAATTCTTTACGATTATTTGAACGTTGAAAGTATGCTAAAAAATGGAAAAGGACTCTCGATGAAGGGATATTGTCCTATTTATTATTTTATGATTATGCAAGCTTATTGCTTTTCCCTTATGAAACTGGATTTTTTAATTGATTTGGGTATTTATGATTCTATCAAAAGAGATTGAAACATTATTCTCAAGAAACGGGATTTGAAAAGTATTTCAACCATCATGCGAAAGTAGATATTCAATTTTTAAAGAACATCAAATTTTCATTGGAAAGTGATAACTGTCGGCTCTTACCAATTACTCGATCAAATTAACAGCAATTCTATTTCATAGGTTATTAAGCTTTAATCATCAAGAATTCTTACTTCAATGACAATGCAAAATTAATTACAGCTTCGCGAATAGAAATTTCTATTGTGTGCGCAATATTTAGAGAACTTATTGATAATTAATAGCCTATAATTCTATCAAATAAAATCGTGAGTCTTTTTTCTATACACATAATGTATCTTAGACAGAGCACAAAGTGAAACACTCGTTCAAGATTTTTTTCACACACTTTTTACATAGGTATATCTGTAATACATTTTCATGTGAAAACAGTTAAACATACACGTATTAGATTTCGCACGAAAGAAGAGAAACAAGCACAGAGCACCAAAAACATGCAATCTGTTTACGTGAAATTTCGATGACGATTAATTGTGTATTAATTTTACAAAATTATCAGAACGACTGGGAGTCCAGGGAGCAAGTCGCCAGCGGGTGTAAGCGGTGGTCCAGGAACAGGTAGCAGTAGTGCCTCGGGCGGCAATGCCAGCTGCGCGAGCGCTGGTCCAGGGGCAGGGCCCGTCACGCCTACCGCCGGACCCCAGAACAAGCAACTGGCCAACGTGAAGGGCGAGCACCCATCGGTAAGTTCTTCTCTTGTTATTGCTGTTTTTGAGGCGCAGCCGAGTGCCATTTTTTGCGTTAAAATATCAAATTTGTAATTTGAGTAGAGTAAAGACAAGAGATAAATAAAATAATATCTTTTATTGGCTTTCAGATATCTAGTTATATTATTCGCTTATTTTCTAAGCGAAATTACAACAAAAATACAACGAAATAATAGTAAAGAAAACTCGAGATGAGAGTCATTAGAATTTTACTGCAGTGTTTTAACTTTCATATTTAATTTTGGTAAAGGAACATTGCAAACTTCTTATCAGCATCGTTATTTCGTCTCATCCGGGTATGACTGAATATTCACATTTGTACTATAGTAGCATATCTATCCAAATATTCGACTGTTATCACGCTGAAGTATATGATTCTAAAACTGCTCTTTCATATCTTGCGGGACACTTTTTGTTCGGTAAACTAAACTTTACGAGTAACTTAAATTTTCAAAATACATAGGATGTGCGTTGGATCATTATCAACTTCTTTGATCTTAAAATATTGGAAAATTTCTTTTTCATCTATTTTATAAAAAAAAAAGGAAAAAATAATATTGACCGAGAAAGAAAAGGCGAACTAAAAATACTTCACTGTCTTTCAATCAATATTCATTGTCTTTCCGCACTTTGAGTGTTTCAAACAAAAATACTTTGTTTGACTTTTAAGTAGAGCATAATTCAGACGTAAAAGTACAAAATCACATGAGTGTATAAGTATAATCCGCAGGCTTAAAAAAGGAAAGATCACACGAAATGTCACGTAATCCGGCCTGCATAAAGCGACTGGCCAACGTCGGGCAAAAAGGGGATTAATGTGGAGCGTTCATTTGCAAGGATTTTCTGAGGGTAGCTTACTTTTTTTTTGACCGACACAAAAGACTGAATTTTTTTTTACGTCGCTGGAGGGGAAACGTCTAGTGAATCGATAAGTGATTATCTCGCTTGCGAGGATAGGATTTTGAATGGTAAAAAAGAGGAATATCGAAGACAAAAGAGAAGAATGTATTAGCTTGCAAATGGAGAGAGTAATATACGTTAGCCGGAGTTAGTGAGGAATAGAAAGAACGAGCAGGAGAGAGAAATCGAACGATGATATTGATTTTATATAATCTCATCTATTTTTTTAACAATCTAGTAAATATTACAAATGTTAGTTGTTGTTTATAATTCAAAATACGTTAAAAAAATTGATCTATTATTTCTCATACTTTTTAATGAAAAAGGCAAGCTATAGAGCTTTTGTAGAATTTATAAGTAGGGATTTTTCCTATTATGTAAAGATAACAATACTGACTTTACTTCCAGTACAGAAAGACAAGTATATAGAAAGGTATGGTCGTTCCACTCCAATTACTTCTCTCCAATTACTAAGACTCATGGTGCTGTAGGTGGAAGTTCAATATTCCAGTCCATAGAAAACTTCTTAGAGAAAATAATCTATCTCTCTCTCTCTTCATCTCTCTCTTTTGCTTGCTTTTTCTCCCGCTCTGTATATTTATGCGACGCTCGACTGCGTTGCGTACAAGTTTTAAAAATAAACTTGGCGACACACATATATATCGATATAACGATTCGCGGTGCGATGGCATTTTCTCATTACAGAAGGCCTTCCTACAGAGCAGATCTATCTCGCTGGTGGACATGTACATCGACAACACAGAATCCACCGAGGATGTCGGCCAGATTCAATTCAGCCTCGAGTACGACTTTCAAAATACCACGCTTGTTTTGAAAATAATACAGGTAATGTCAAATACACGTATTTCTCATGTGCTAAGATTTATGTAATAATATTCGTCGAATGTAGGTGAAGAGTTTATTATACAATGTAGATTATTCTTGTCAGAGAGATTCCATTGAACGTGTTATACGTGTAACATCATGCTTAAAGTCCTTGGCTAGTTTAATGTGGATTACAACCATCTTCTAGTACTGCTCGTGAATTCTGATTTATGAATTTTCAAATACTTGACATATGTACGCTCTCTTTTTCTCGCAAAGAGAGAAAGTATAATCACGGATTTGCTACAGTTCATTATATTTTTGTCAAACAAATCGTTAGATGATCTGCGAAATACGCGATGGGATTTTATTCTTTGGGAAGTTTAAATTGTTGACATTTATGTAAGTTAGTACTGAAATATCATTCAGATGAAGTTACTTTCCCACAGTTAAGTAATGTACTATTATATCCATCTCGTAAATATTGACTTTTCAAGTTACTTTCGTTTTAAATCTCATCATATGATCAATACTTGGATATAAATAATTTACATCAAATATATCATTGGTTAGGTCCCTGGAATGTCTTCTCCAAAGTTAAATATCTCACAATACAACACCGTAGTAACGAAAATTAAAATTACGTCTCAAGATGTTTTGTACTCAATTACATAGTTTGTCTTGCCTGTCGAAATGGGTGATACATCCTTGGCCAAGCTAAGGATTCCCGAACTTTCTTTGAGACTTCGCTTGCTCGTAGAACATGGTACGATTTTTCTCCTAAATCTTAAATCACCCGCATGTTCTTTTCTTCTTCCTTTCTCGACACGCTCTTTTCATTAAAAGCATTGAACACATCTCGCGTAGACACTGGAATTTCTTCTCTTTTGAAGCATACCAGTTTATATATCAAAAAGTTTAGGCGTGTGAGACAAAGCAAGAGAGTTTTAGTTGTAGCGTTGGCATCTATTGGAAATCGATGTTACGGAATATCAATGCACCATCGTGCGCGCAAGAGGCAGCAACGTATTTTAAATTTTATACCTTGTATGCGCATAGATTCCTTCATTCTCTTCTGTGCGTGTGCGTCTCTTTCTTCATTTTAATTATTTCATTTTAATTATACAGCACGCAGGTTCAATCCTTGCGCGTTATATAATTATGAAATTTCCAAAAAATTGTATTTCAGAATAGAACGCCTTTTTCCATTGAAACATTCGCGCACTGCATCCATGTATCGATTTAACCTTTAATAGGTTGATCTATTTATGTTATATACAATGAATAATAATTATTCAAATATTTGCGAATATTCGTGGAAACCATTATTAATTCGACATATCACAACAAAACCGCCTGTCGTACGTTACAGCTGAAAATCATGTCCCGTCCGTACTTTGATAATCCTACATTCACTTCGTCGCATAGTCCCCAACGAAGCATCTGAAAATAAAAAAAAGGTGCCAACGATCGTGCTTCGCTAAGTCAAAACGTGTGTAGAATCTTTTTTAACAAAACCGTTCCTTTTTCGACTTTCCACAGGGAAAGAACTTACCAGCGAAGGATCTGTCCGGCACGTCCGATCCTTACGTTAGGGTGACCCTGCTGCCTGACAAGAAGCATCGTCTTGAGACGAAGATCAAAAGGAGAACCCTCAATCCACGATGGAACGAGACCTTTTATTTCGAAGGTACCGTATTGTATCACTGCTATATACTAACCAACGTTGTCGTTGTGTAATATCCTCAGGACGTTCCTTTTGAAAGCAAAGGCGCTTATTAATTATTTATAGAAATGCTCGAGTGCTGAGTTACGCTTATTCTTTACGTTCAGTAGTACGCACAGAAGGAAGAAAAACATATGCTAGAGAATGATTTTCCATTTGTATTCTTTCATTCACTCCTGTTTATGTCCGGCAGATGAACGAGAGTGTTGATTCTCTTTTTCTTACCAGATTTTTTATGCAACAATTTTTATTACGAAATCGGTGTTCATTTTTAAAAAATTTTATGAATATTCATCTTTACGGCATGTTTATCATACATATGCAAACGAATTAACTTTTACGGGAACGTTCTTCGTTATAACAAAGTTGATTTTGCAAATTCTCAATGTGAATACATACGTTAGAATTCAGATTGAAAGTAATGGCATAATTACAGATTGTTGCAATGTTATATCCTATCGACAAACGTTACGCGTAGTAGTTCATATTCACACAAAATACGAAAAGGTTGTTATTTCTGTACAGTTTATTACAGTTACTGAGAATAATAATAAGTTCATAAAAGTGCATTGATCGCGAAAACACAATGAGGTAATGGATTATGCAAAAGCGTTCCTTTGATTTGTTTAAGATAACTTCGAAATAACTTTTAACGGCCTGTCAGCGAAGTGTTTTATAGACGTAAACTCAAGGGCCTGAACATAACTCAATACGATAAAACATCCTCAAACGATTCTAAGAATGTTTAATACGAAGACACAATAATTCTCGGAGATAAAACTTCGTGCCCTCGTAAAATCATCTTCATAATGGTAAATCAGTGTTGATATAGGTGTAAATCATCAAATTTAATTTTGCGAAAGTGAAAAACTTGGAGAGCGACGGTCGTCGAAATAATCGCAAAATTCCGTTGGCTTAACGAAGCATCCAGTAGATATACTGTCAATTTATCACGTCCCAATTTCAGACATACAAATCACTAATTGAACCGAATGCCATCGACGTTTTTTTCGCTATCAGACCGTCGCGATTTATCTTGTCTTTCGGTGACAATATGATTCAAGTAGTTGATAAAATAATTTGATAAAAGGTTTTAGTAAGTTTCTATTGGATATCGCGACGCTTTAGTGTTTACTTTAATTATATCAAAAATAGCTTAGGATATAAGTGCTGTTGTTAATGGAATTCCATTGCGCTGTTATAGCTCTAATTTTTGCTTTTTCGCTCATCTTTATTGTCTCGTAAACTGAATTATACGATTATATCGAGACCATATTTTATGGACTTGTTTTATAACTTCACAAGATTCATCGTTGGCACTCGAAAAAAGTTGATTGAAATCTGAAAACTTTATTAACATACGCGATTTTTACCTCTTGCTCGAAAGCTTTTAACTATCACACATGAAACATTGAAAAATAGTTATTTTTGTCTTATCTCGAGCTTTACACGCAAATTCCAAGTACTACTCTCTGTAAAAGCTTAAGGTCTTTAGTGAAAAAAAGAGAACTTCGAAATACTCAAAACTGTCATTAACATCCTCCACTTTTTATCGTATAAGGGTTACGCGTGTCTGTGGGATAATATATATTTATACAGTTAAAATGTATTTCGTTGGATTTCCACTCAAAATGCAATGTTCATAAATATCATATTCAGCGAAATATCTTCTGCATAGAGGAAATTACTGTGTCAATTAATAGCATCCTCTCGAAATTTCCAAGTAATATACTGTTAATGTAATTTCCAAATCCAACTTTAATTCACCGGCTCTGGATTTTCAATCGCGACGCATTTACTGAAAAATTGATGGGTTGCGGTGCACGCAGAACTTTTCTCGATAATCCTCCGATCGTGCGAATTTCAAAACGCAAGTCATCAGTTGACGCTACTTATCGTCGACCAAAAAGAGCAGATCTTTGAAAGAGGAATGTAACTTTCTCTCTTTCAGATCGTGAGCTACACCCGGGAGAAACCTTTATATTATGCGCAGCGCCTGCGTCGCCCGCTTTCGGCGCGTAAACGCGGCCTTGACATCTTCCGCTCTGCGAGAGTTCGAGAGCATTCGGAGCTGAACGCGCGCAAGCGATATACGAGTATACTGTTCGATGCGGCGCGCTGCCTCTTTTTTTATTCATTTGCTTGAAAAAGGGAACAGCATCGTATGCATATACAAGCTGATGTCTTTTGCAAGCTAAACAATGTTCATAACTGTACGCTTGCGTGTTATGATTATGATGAAATGAGGGATTATTATTGGACTTTATGTTTTTTCTTCTAGACAGGGATCGCAGTTGCAGTAATGAATGCTTGTCAACTCTTGATTTTTTTTTAATGATCATGTAAATCCTGGTAAGGAGGTGTACGGTGCAGTTTTCTTTTGTTCCTCAGTACAGCTATAAGTAATAATTTTTTTGAATTGTTTGGAAAATACGCGATAATTATCGTTTATACTGAATAGCAGTAATTTTTTTTTAATGACTCAATAACGTACTTTATATTTTAGTCCCGCACTTCAGAAATGTCAATAACAATAGAACTTGGAATCTTTCGAGATCCAGATTGACTTATTTCTTACAAGATTGGAATAATTCCCAACTTATAGAACTTATCCATCAGTAGCTCCCCTTTCTAAAAGAAAGTAAAATTTATCTTTAATTGAACAAATTGCTTCACAAGCTCCCTAGGGTAAAATCATCTGCGTGAGCCCAACCGCCATAGTAGGAATAAAAGAACAATGATCAAGAGACCAATGATAACTAAATATTTTTTCTTTTTCATCAGGTTTCCCCATTCAGAAGCTACAGAGTCGAGTACTTCACCTCCACGTCTTTGACTACGATCGATTCTCGAAGGACGACTCCATAGGGGAGTTATTCCTACCGCTTTGCCAGGTGGGTAAAAGAGAAACGACCGGCTAATCTTCAGGTAGTACGCGGCAATCACGTTGTAAAGCTGGCGCAGTTTCATTTGCATGCGAATATCTACCTGTCCGTGCGCGCGCGTACTTTTTTTCAACGGTAATTGAGTATCGATAAACGGACAGCGAGAGAGAAAGAGAGTTAAACGTGCCAATATGGCAATTTTCAATGGATTTTTTTTTTCAATGTGCCATCCATGTATGTGTTTTTTTCATCTACAAGAAAACATTGCCTTGACAAGAGAAACATCAGCTTGATTTCAATGTCATGAGGAAAGACAGACAATCTTATTTTTCTCGAAATAGTTTTCGCTGAAAATTCGTTTTGTTACAAGCTCGTGGGATGCGTGAATGGAAAAATAACCATGCCGACAAAGAAAATTTACATGAGCAAATTTTATTTCCCAGGAAAATTATTTCCTGAGGGAAAATATAGGCAAACGACACACAGACGTCGCGACAAAAATGTGTTACTCACGTCCCGTCGTCTCTACTCTCATCGTATGGAATCCAATTTTCCATCCCATGTGACGCATCCATCGACTGATCCCTATACATGGAAGCGCATAGCAAAACGGAATTATTTGCAAGCGCAACCGTTGCTATTATCAATAAATCCGTGGCTTTTCAAATATTCACACAGGATGAAACTGAAGAATACGGGGCGTGCTGTACGTGCTCGCAGGCAATATACATAGCTGCGAGATTAAAAACGACTGCGCGTGCGAAAGATCAGACACTCGACTCGTTGACGGTGACGGTATTTATAACTCTTTCAGATTTTTTTAAGCGTGCAAGGACACGCGAGGGGCGTTTAGTGAATGAGAAACTGTGCTTTTCGCGCGGTTAAAGATTCAGAGTGAAAGAGGCGAGAAGTTTTTTTTGTTATTTACTGATAATAGTTTATCCCTGAAATAGAATGTTATTGTGAAAGAAACTTAATGATTGCGGCTTTACAAACTCTGATTAATCGGCAAAAGGATGTACGTACACAGAGCCGCTGCGGTAACATTTGATTTTTTGAAAGAAATTGCCTTTGCTAAAGGATTTAAACGTTATTTGAAAAATTTAATTTGCGCTTTTTTTTTTGGAAAAATCCAAAAGCGAGGCATATGTTATTCATGACGTCGTCGTCACGAAAAGGATACGACGCTATGTCGAAGAAAAATATAATCTTCGATTACATGAATAATTTACAGGATTGGGTGAATCTTTTGTGCTATTTTACGATTGTTATTTCAGTCTTGAATTTTCTTCATATTTTCGATTATACTTTGTAAGTTAACTATAACATTAGGCATTGAACATTTTTAGTAGATACTTCAACAACAAACTCTAATTCCTTCAATGGGACATATTTATTTTCAAAAACTAGTTCAAACATGTTTTAGCAAATGAATAAACCAGCAAATACTGATAATGTTAAATGAAATTACATAGGTTGATTTCTCGGAGAAGCCATCATTCTGGAAATCGTTGAAACCACCAGCGAAGGACAAGTGTGGCGAGTTATTGTGCTCACTGTGCTATCATCCGAGCAACTCGGTACTCACGCTTACCCTTCTCAAGGCGCGCAATCTCAAGGCCAAGGACATTAATGGCAAATCGGGTAAGTATATCATATCGTTTTACTATTTTCTCTTATAACTATCCACGAAACGAAAAATTAAAAAAAAAATAAAAACAAGAAGAAAACAAACACTATCTGATGAGGGGGATTATGTTTCACTTATATCTGAGAGTGGTTCGAGTTGGCACGGCATTATAGTGACGGATCGATGATGTATACCTTGCGTGTGCATGTATCTAGACGCGAATTTATATTGTTGTATTGCTTGGAAAACTAGAATAGGTACCGGTCTGTTTGTTTGACAAACAATGAGGATATTATTGATGTACATCTCTCCAGAACTTTCGTCTGGATTAACGTCTACTTTTTTTCTACTTTTATAGATGCTAGGCCTTCTGTATGAAAAAGTATTACATTTTTCGAGAGGTGCATTGCCATATTCTACTGAAATTTTATTGATTCATGTATTTATTTATTTTTATGAACTGCCATTTCATTTGTAAGTATTTCGTGAGAATTAATTAATTTCGTGAGACGTTTTCACAATTCCGTGCATGAGAATTTTTATGTTTCTCGCACGAAAATCCATATGGTTCATTAATTGCATTCTTTGATTTACAAATTCATTACACATGATTGCAATGCATAATTTAATTTAACGTCCAGCTCACGTTTAATTATCTAGTAAAAAAGCCATTTTCGTACGCGGGTACACTATCCAAATAAAACGTGGCGTCAGATGTCATTGAAGAAAAAATTATCATAATGTAATTGAAAACACGAAGTCATTGAATTTAAGCTTTAATGCGTTGCATACGCGCTTCTGTACGTCTCAGAATAAACACATATCGCTTAAACAAATCCTGCCAGTAGAGAATCGATCATAAGCGAGAGGGGGTGAGACAGAGATACTCATCTCAGCTTTGAATCACGTACTACTAGCGTCGTGCAGAAGTACAACATCCATATTCCGAAATTCCATACACACAGACCGACAGTCATGGATGATAAATCACGAGGGATGAAATTATAACGGAGACAGGAGGTCGTTTCCTTTTTTTCTTTTCAAATTTTAATTGCTTTGAAATATTATAGATCCATACGTGAAAGTCTGGCTGCAGTTTGGCGAGAAGAGAATCGAAAAACGCAAGACACCGATCTTTAAGTGTACCCTCAATCCGATTTTCAACGAGCCCTTCTCGTTCAATGTACCTTGGGAGAAGATTAGGGAGTGCTCGCTAGACGTTATGGTCATGGACTTCGATAATATTGGCAGGAACGAGCTCATCGGCCGTATATTACTTGCAGGTGAACTTGGATTTCTTTTAAATCACGATGACAAATTTAAGTAGCTGTGATTCATTCTCCGATTCGTGAAATAAAATCCAGTTACTTATTGAGCTATCGAGAGAAACATTCTTTTATCAGATAACGAAGCGAAATCAAAGAAAATTTTACAGTTACATAAAAATTTCAACATGCGTAACAAAATAAAATTGGAACAATGCTTAATTCTCACCGCAAAAGTTTTTACGGTAAACTAAAGCTTTCAAGAAACAAACGAATTTTACACTTTGGGATTTTGGTAAATCACAAAGCTCTGTGAGCTACACGTACAAACGATTAATCGTTTACAAGGAGCGTTTGAAATTTTATTTAGTATGAAAAAAAAATGAATCCTTCAAAAAAATAAATAAATAAATAAATAAATAAAAAGTAAAATAAAACAAATAAATAAAATCCAACCAGATGTAAGCTTTTGTGTTTTCATTCTGTAATGATACTTCAGTTTTTAGTGAATGAAAAAAACAGGTCTCTCTCTATCTCAACGCATGAGTTTTTTTTTATGAAAACGTATCGCTGTCGAAATAAATAAAACAGACTCTACACTTGTGCACACTGTACAACGACGCAGTAATATCGTAAAGATAAATGTTTTAAACACACGATATACGTTTTACGCTTTTGTAAATTTACTGAAAAAGACGCGTGGACTTTCAATACCAATAACCATTAATTCGATTATCGAATTTGAATGCATACTAAAAACTGTGTAACCTCGCAGTTTTTCTCGTACTCGTTGCGCAAATATTTTAATTAAGTTCAAATCTCGTAACATCGTTAGCGAAGAGAGAAAATATAATCCTCGACATCTTTGAAAATTTATGATCACGCGTATGACTCAAAATAAATTATCGTACGCACGAAACCAAATAAATTATCTTGTTGTGGAATAATTGGAAAATTGCCACACGCGGAAAGAAGAAAAAAATAAGTAAATAACCAACGCTGCCGACGACAACGTATACCCGGAGGGGTTTGCGCGTAGTCGCGGAATGATTAAAATTTATCCTTTGTCGTCGCCTCACGAGCGAAACTTGAGCAAATTAAAAGTTGTCAAGTAATTTCTTCCGTAGTAACTTTTTGCAGATTTTTCAACGGAAGAAAAAAAGGTGATAGAAGAAAAAAAGAACACACCGTCGCTGTTGCTCGTATAATTATTATTCCGAGAACAAACTAATTTCAGTTTGCCGCCGTATCCTATCTAAACTCTTTTTATCTACTTTGACATTTTGAATATTTCATTAGGAAGCGAGTGTACAGCAAATCGATTTGCCTGTCTTTCTTAGTTTGAGAAATCTTTGTAAAGTTGTAAGCACATTCATTGAGTCTAAAAATACAAAAGCATGTTATGCCAACGAACGAGACTTTTTCGCTATATATTGAGGATATTTAAACTCGGACCTATCTTCATGTTGGTAAAAAAAAATTGGAAAAAGGCCGGTCCGTTAAAAACGTCGGCGAGCGCTCAAACAAAGTCCTCATTACGCGGTCGAGCGGAGTGTATGCGCTCGTGTTCTTTTCCTCTGGTTATTTACGAGAGAGAGATTTTCAGCTTGCCTTAGAGCCAGAGAGAACCTTGATGAGTTACCTCGTGCTCACGTACACAGAGAGCAAAGTCGTCTCTCTTGTCCGTAGATATAAACCGAGTCGATAATTTTCTTCCCTTAGAGATGATCTAATTTTAAGCTGTAATTTCGGGATTCAATTTGCTAACGACACGTATAATTAATGGATAGATGGACCAAAGCCTTAAGGGATGATACCGTTAATTAGAATCAATCCGAGCTTACAAATTGCGTGGCTGTTACGGGCCGCACGACCATCTAATCCTTTGTCTAAGATGTTTGGCGACTGTTGCCAATTGAATAAATTACTTGTGGAAGATATGGCTTTGGAAATGAGAACGATATAGGAATTGATTTTAATAAACTTTGAAATTTTTATATTGGCAATTAGTTAATCGATACTTTCTCCGAAATATATTCGATAGTAATGTGACATACACGTACGAGTATGTATGAAAGTTTTGAACTGACTGACAGTGATTCATTGTGGAAAGTTTTTGGAAAATTTTATTTCTTTATTTTGAATTAAAATCATTATAAATATTAAACTATTTAAAAAACACAAATGATCAAGATATTACGAAAGTATTGATTAAATTACATTATCAGTCAATTGTATCGTTATCACAAATTGATTCAACAAGGTGTTTTCGAATAATGATGAAGCAAATTCGTATTTCTCAGAAACTTTAAAATTATCATTGATCGGAATAGTCAAATCATTTGATTAACCGCTCGATTAATTATCAAACGAATCGGAAAGATCAGTTGCAGAGTTCTTCATTTAAAAAGCAATGATAATATTTTGAGTTTAAAATTTGTGCAGGTAAAAATGGCACCGGAGCAAGCGAGACGAAGCATTGGCAGGACATGATTACGAAACCTCGTCAGACGATCGTGCAATGGCACCGACTCAAGCCTGAGTAAAACAGTTGATGGAAATATCTCATAGACAGAAATGAATTGATGAGTCGGTTGTGACACTTTTTTGAGGAATCGTCACAAATACATTTCCGGACGCTGCTGCTGATGCTCTGCTGCATGGCGAGCTTAATTGCGAATGTCGGCCCGACGATATTGAAAAAATAAAAGGACTGGTCGATGCTAACAGCCGTGTCAATTTTTGTAAAGAATTAATATGTGTAAGCGGGCGCACTTTCGTTAGCACTTGACTGTTCGTACAATAAACATAGCTTTGATAAACAAAAGGTAAAAACAAGCATATACCAACAGAGATACAAAAATACAAAAAAAGGCAACAAAATTACAGAAAAATACATTATCGAGACTTATAGCTGTTTTAGTATTGGCCATCCCTCCCAAAAAATCTCACCTAAAAAAAATAATATCAGTCGAGATGTGTACGAGAGCGGCTAAATCGTGTTATACATAATTATAAGAATTTGCGCCTATTGGGGGTAGTTCAAAGCTAACGTCTTGGGTTTTTATCTTCTTTTGTTTTTTTCGTAATTTATAGATTTTTTGTTTTCTATTATTACAGTTCGCGATAAAATCGTTGAGACTAAGAGCAAAGGGGTATATATACATATACACACACATATATCTATGTGTGTGTGTATATATATATATATATATATATATATATATGCACACACACGCATATATATATACATATATAGTGTCGTTTTCAACTAATTAGTAATTGCTCGGGAACGAGCGTATAGTTGATTTGTGAATCGTGTCTTGGCGTATTACCTAATAAGTAAGGCAAACATAAAAATCGTAGTGATTACCAATTACGTTTTGCTATCATAATGTCGTATATAGAGTGATCATACTTTTGTAAATTTAGCGATATGTATAATTCCAATATAGCGATGATGATGACGATGATGGTGACAAACGGGTCGATGAAGGTGGCAACTAATGGTCTACATTTATTAAAATACCGTGATAAAAAAACTGACAACGTCGAAGACGCGTTGATTTGTTGAACCACACGGTTATAACATTTATCATAGTAAATTTATTTATACAATATATACAGACGGGATGATTTTTCGATATGACGCACAACTTTCAACCGTCAATTTTTCAAAAACTAACGCGTAGACACGCTTGAAATAAATAACATCTTACACGATACACGATCGCGAGACAATAAGAAGTTTATGGTTATTATTGTAAGTGTGTTCTTATTAGATTCTGCAAAGTAAATTGCGATATGGGCCAATGCACTTCCTATTATCTCGTGTTGTGTACGGAAACTTCAAAGGCGAAGTTTATTTATTTGCTCGTATAAACGAAGGAAAATTTGTTGAAATTTAGTTCCGGTTATTAAGTTCACGCTCTCTTTTTCGCTGCGAGATAGTTCCGTACATGTACGACAGACAGATCGGAGGCGAAAAGACAGAAGAAAACATCAGTTTGTAACCATTATCAAATAAAATAAATTGAGGCTGATTGCGTGGGCCGAAGGGATAGGGATAACAAAACACAGCGTAGAAGCTCGTCGAACATAAAAAAAAGGCGGAAGTTTTTTTTACTCATCGCGATTTAATCTAAGTATGAAGAATAAAAATAAAAGCGCGAGGGCGAAGTACAGGCAACAAAAAATGTTAATATTAATGGCAAAAATAGAAACGTTTCTTCTAATATCAATTGCGATCGGTGTATCTTTATAAAAACACATGCGACGGATACGTACACAAGAACACTCTTACATATACATACAGAGGCGATCAACAAAAAAATGAAGTAATTAACGTTTTAGCAATCGACTCGTTACCCTGCTGCTATTACGATTTCAAACGACAAAAGGAGAGAAAAGAAAGAATGGTAAAAAGCTCGCGGACCGTCTGAAGCTTTCTCGGACTATTATACTCTCATGTCGTTTCCGCATAGATTAAAATATCGAAGCACAATCGTATAATTCCTTAATCGTCAAATCGCACAATTACAGATATTGCGAATCACTTTGAACTATTAAATAACTCATCGGTAATGAAGAATCATCTGATCAACCATATCGCAGTCGAGCGATAAAAACGAAAAAATATTTTCATCAATGTGTATTAAGAATTCAAGGTCACGAGTTTGTAGTACACAATTTAATCAGAGATAAGCCAACACTCAAAGTAAAAAAAAAATATTTCTACTCGATTTAGCGAAACGCAAAACTTCTACGTAATATGTCACGCGATGCTGTACAAGCGCACGTACGCACTTCTACGCGAAATATGTTTGATTAATTACTTTACGAAATTTATCGAGAGAAGTTCAAATTGATGATTTGTGGTAGCATATGTACCGATGAATACGCAAAAATTCCATTTGAGTGAGAAGGGATATATTAGTCGCGCGGAAGCACGTGTTTGGAGAGTCAATGACTCGGTTAGATACGCGATAGATTGGATTTTTGACTTTTTCAGCTGAGTCACAAAGTGTCGCGTGGCATCTCGCAGTAAACGTACATGTACATCACTGCCACACGCACGAAAAGGAAAAACCGAATCTCCAGAACTCGTACGTATACGTATTCTCGATGGACGAAAAGACGCAGTGTTTTTATTTATTTATCTATTCACTTATATTTTACGAAATCAACTGGTACGAATGAATTATATGTAGCTCATAAGTGATTTGCAGTGTACACTTCACACACACCGGCCAAATGTAACTCTTTCAAAATAAAAAAAACACTACTCAACGCAAGTCCACTATATCGAAACTTCAAAGTTCAAAAACTTATGAATGTCGCTCTATTTTCTTCACATAAAAGATAGGCAGGGAGATTACAAAATTAATATGAGCGCGTGCGGCGCGCGCGATTTGTTGTCGTTTGTGATAATACGAAGGAACAAATTGTAATTTATAAGTACAGAATACGAACGAAATTGAAAAATAAAAAATAAAATATTTTTCTCGTGGTTTACTTTAGCCGTTAGTTGAAAACCAATCGAATTGTGTTTGAGGGATAATTAAAAGTTTATAAAAACAAGAATATTTATTGTTTTTTAAGATAAAGCTTTAAGAAAAAACGTTGCGTTGGAACGGAAACAAATTATAGATGTGTTAGCACTATTATACGAGTATACTATCAATGAGAATGTTTGTCACAGTTATATATATACTATATTCAAAAGGGAAAAAAAATAAAAAAAGCTACACAAATAACCATATATTCTCTATATGCATATACATGTATCATTGAACGCCTCTGATGAACCTAAACATATCTAAATAAAAGCCTATTGTAAGCGATGATCACACAATTATATATTACTGTATAACGATATAAGACAAGCTTGGGACGGTCCCCACTACACACGTGTGAAATTTTTTTCGCGTAAGAAAGGAAGAGTGAGAATGTTGATTGCTCTATAAATTGATGTCTAGAATAAAGAGATTTTTGTTATAGTTTAACTTCATTGGTCGTCAATAAAACGATCTTTGCTAATGAAATGATGTAAAACAAATAATTTTTACCGACTTCTCAGAAACGGAGCCGCTGATGACTTTTACAGAGACAACTGTAACCTATACGCTTAATTTCTGTGTAATATATTTGGAAAAAGAAACTAATCAAGTTCAAGTTTTATTCCGCGTAGTTAAACTCAAACGATCCCTAGATATTGAAGCAAAAAAGAATTCTTCTCTGTCACTGTCATTCCGCATGTCTATCCTAAAATTATCAAAAGTTACAATATATTTAATGCTCTACAACTATTAAGCTCTTATAATCGTATAGATAAACAAAAGTTCAAAAAAAATTAAAAATAAAAAAACAAAGAATGAGAGAACGAGAAGAATGCAAATGGATAATACAGCAGCTATAAGTGTCGTTTTTACGATATTGGCACATGTATCTGAAAAATTAAACTTAAAAATAAAACTGTAACAATGAAAATCGATACATATAATACGCTGCATATATACCGACACACGAGTGAGAATTAAAAAATCTTATCTAAGACGTATAATTATATGCGGTATAAGATCATACTTTAAATAATATCTTATTATCCATTACATGGAAAACTGGCGCGAGCGTAAAATTGGTGCACACACATAAACACGCACGTACAAACTACACATACTTGATGTAATAGAATTTATCCTGCAGCGCATATATTATGTCTGTATATATCTACGTAATAATATGTTATGGAGTGGAGAACTGGGCGTGCAAACCAAAAAATACAATGAACTATTTAAAAAAAATAAATACTAATAATAAATCGGCCCGATACACGGCCCCGTGGCTCTAATGTGGGGGACGGTGGTCATCACACAAAGTTACCAGCCGACGGCTGCTCTGACCGACAAGCGTAAGCCCTTTGTAAAGTATTTTTATAAAACATACCATATGTGAATTAACAAAGTTAAGCTATATCACACCGTATATATTACCATTCGATCGATATTCGAAACGAGTTATTATAATGTCACTCAGAGCGCACTTGTCATTTAACGATTATATGCATATGTATTGTGGTATATCATCCCTGTATTATATAATTGTATATGTGTCATCATTTCGCAGCAAGAAAATAATTAAGAGAGTCTGCCATGTGGTGAAAATTCTAATTGTACATATTTAATACCAAACCGTTTTTCATAAGAAAAAAAATTTTGTTGGATTAGAAAATGCGACGAGAATGTAGACGAGGAAAAATATCTTTATAAACAATTATTTTCTTGCCAGTTTTTAGCTTGACTTATCATAGAAAAGCAGTTGATGCGGTGCTCATTAAGTTAAAACATTGAGCAAAATGTTTTCTCTTTGTATGTCTACCTCCGATCACATCTTTCAATACAAAATCGTTTGATATATATATATATATATATATATTTATTTATTTATTTATTTATTTATTTATTTATTTATTTATTTATTTATTTATTTATTTTCACGTAGATAAAATTTATTGTTTGAAAACGTAAATGATTCTGAATATTTCGATGCGAAAAAATTATTCTCTATACAATATTTACGTTAACATCTGAATAAAAATCACTATATATATATATATATATATATAGTGATTATTGTATAGAGAAACGTAAATATTGTATAGAGAATAATTTTTTCGCATCGAAATATTCAGAATCATTTACGTTTTCAAACAATAAATTTTATCTACGTGAAAATAAACTCATCAGACATACGTCTCTCGCCAAAACAAAAAATACAGCTTTATTTACCATAAATATAAATGTTTATGAGAAAACGTGATTGATGATTGACCCGACCGGGGTTCAAGCGTATATCAATTGCGCATAACAGAGCTTTCACAAATTTTTGAAAGCTCGTTTACTAATTGAATTGCCGATTTTTTCATCCGATAAAAGCACACAAAAAAAAGAGGATTCACAAGTGTCGATGTGATTTCAATTAATTGTCAAAGTAATTAATTAAGCGAGGAGAGAAACAGATAAATTTAGTTCGACAACGGCGGAAGTACATCAACCAATTTGTAGAAGAAAATAACGAGGAAGAAGAATGATTAGTGCCGTTGACAATGTTGTTAGTTACCTACGAAATTCCAAAAAGATATATTTTTAAAGATCGGAGTTTACACATGTACATTACATATGGACAGTTTTTTGAGAAAAAGTATAAAGAGATGATATTTTATAACATAAGCAAAGAAACAAGGACCCTGTGACGAGGTTCTACATATGACAAATGTATATTTTTTTAAATATTTGGCTTTAGTCAAGATGAAATAAAAACCTTCGTGCATGGTTGTAATATGTGTACTGTGTATCTTTGATGATATAATTAATGATTCGTAATTAAACACCAATTAATATTCTGTGTTGAAATGTTATACAATAAATTATTAGAATTTATATAGTTTGGTCAATGGTAAATTAGTATCTGAGAATGAATATATTAACTAGTTATGATAAAATATTATAAATACTTCATAAAAGCATTATTTGAAAACCATACTTTCAAATGTGAATTAAGAATATAATGAAAGTTGATCTATAAGAAACCGTACCTGGATTGAGATTTTATTTGTAAACATTAAAATTTTTTTCAAAAAGAATCTGCAATTGAACAAGATTTCAGCAATATACCATAGTTAAAAAAATACAGGAATTATCAGAAATGTGATGGAGCAAACTATTCAGTGAAACCATGAAAGTCAGCCAGTACATGTAATAGAGAATTAAAAAAGTATATAAATCGCAATTCCATTAGTAAATAGAAAGATATCCATATAGTCGAACTCGTTGAAAATTAGCTCCTATGTAAAAAAAAGAAGTTATAACTTCCTTGCCCCCGTCGGAGCAATGCATCGAGCTGCGCGCTTCACTGTAAGCGTCTTTCAACTTTAGGTCGATAATTTTCGATGAAACGAATAGAGAATGATCGAAGAATGCCTCGACATGCTTCGATACATTGAATTTGCAACAAAAGACTCATCTATGAGTACCTTTAACACAAAACTATACCGCATAAACAAATCAGAAATAAACGTTACACAAAGTTAAAGAAACAAACACATGAAGTTGCAAGTACACAAAATATAAAAAGTGTGTGCCAGTGTATAACTCGTATAAGGCCGGCGTAGCCCGAAATCGTTGTCTATCGTTTAGCGATGAAAAAAAATCAGTTTACGCCACGAGTAAAACCGTGCGAAGATAGATCGTCTAGTTTTTCCATTAGATTTATATTTAGCTAGTATTTTGGTTAGTGAGAAAACATGCAAAAGATAAAAACAAAGTACTCTTAACGTGACAAAAAAAATAAAGTAAAAATGCAAAATGCAAAGCTCAAAAACGCCTATCGCTAATATCACATCCTCGAGCTGCAAATTAGCACGTTTTCTCGTAACGATGACTCATGAGAAGATATTCTGAAAAATAGAAAGCAGAGAAGAGGTGTGGATGCGGATGGATTAGCATTTAAATTACGTCGTTGAGAGTCATTCGGAGTGTAAAGCGAACGACGACGAGAATATCCAACAGCCAGGCCGACGTTTGATGCGCATATCGAGTTGCGAGTTGTGGTGTTTTTCGTGTGTGTTACAAAGTGCAACCTGAATGAAAAGTCTATGTAAAAAAAAGCATGTAATTGGCAAAGACATTCGAGACTTTTTCGTTCCGCTTTGTATGCCATAATAAATGTTGGCGCTGATTTAGTAAACATGAATAGTTCTTATAGTCGCTTGCGATAATTTGCGTTCATGTATTTGTCGGCACGATATGCGTAATCTTGATTTTCGCGTGTGCCAAAAGTGAAAAAAATAAATAAATGAATTTGAAAGGTGACGCGCGCGGGCTTCTGGGATTTCAACAGTAGTGCCTGAGACGCAACAAACCCAAAAATAAATAAATAAACTCTTTATACGTAGCCGTGTACAGCGTATCACCGCTCGAGGTGCAGCAAAGTAGAAAATCAATGTTGTACGAATGTCGCGTTGCACGTACATTTGCGAACGACTGATGCAGAGGTGATATATAATGAAAGATGAAAAACGGAGAAATCACGCATCATGATTAAAACTCGAGTTCGGTCGCTGAATCCGTGACAGTTTTCTTTTCTACAAGCTCGTCTTGCAAGAAAATTAGTTTACTACCAATATCATTGTGATTAAGAATTACACATTGGGTAGATAAATGATAAATGGAAATAAGTATTTCTGACTGTAATTGTATATTTTTTATAATTACTTGTATAACTCATTGTAGTCTTCAAACGGTGATTAGTGCGTCGATTCATTCACGGCGGCCGAACTTGAAATCACGTATGAGCTAACGAAGAAATAATAATAAAAAAAATTTAAACGAAATACGAAAAAAAGTAACACGTGCGACTGTGCTCTCATGATGTTGGCAGAATATTAAATTTTCAAATTTTAAGTATAAGCTACAAACTAATGTTCGTTTTTCATGTTTAGTTTATATTATATTATACATGGACGCAGATGAAGCTAGTTAGATTTTCCCATGGTAGTTTGATTATTAATTGTAATATGATTGCACGGCAATTGCAAATTTTAAATGATAACGAATGAGCTATAACTGACGTGATAATTGGACGATGATGATAATGACGATGATGCATATGTAAGTTGATTTTTAACGAACCAAGATTTCTGTGTATTTTTTGTCTATGGAACACGAGATTTGCGGTTAACATACAAATGAAGAAAAAAAATATGGCTAGGACCATGAAGTTATATTGTAAAATACTAATAACAATATTATAATAAATTTACAATAGTTATAACAAAACATACAATTCCTCTTTATTTTTTTATCCTTTTCTGAACAACAGTCTTACAATTTATAGAAGTATATGAATTTTTCAGTAACCAATCTTACGCGGACATATTTATGATGTTGGTAGCTCGCAAGAGATTCGTTATCGTAGTGGATAGTTTGTAAGAGACATTTTTCATAGCAAGCCGGCTTTTTATTCCAGCGTTGTGAAGAGCATAATGATAAACGTCCGCATAAAACTTAAAGAAGATAAGTGTTCTTTCTTTCATTTTTCTACCTATATAATTCATTTATTTAGTTTTTTGTTTTATTACTTACTTTGTCGTGCTCTTCAGATGGTTCTCCCGAGTATTCAGAGCTGACTTCTGAACAATTTACAACCATCGTACGAAAAGGTGTCACTAATAGTATTGCGTTGGACCTCTGAAAAAAGAGAGTATTTTAAAAGAAATTAATTATGTGATTTTAATTCGGTCTTTTCGAAATTACTGGAACTCGGGCAGTTACTCATATTATTTTTTAGTATATATAATTTAGGGTGCAATATTCAATACAAACTAATTACAGATAAATACAATTTTCTTCTCCTTCTTATTCCTTCAAAAATAAAGATTAAGATGAAGCTTAAAAATGTTTACTTTTCACGATAAAAAATTATTTTAGGTATTCTTTTACGGATATGGTAAAAATCTTTAAACGTGAAGTAGACAAATAAAATTAAAAATGTTGCCTAGTCAGTTCAATAACTCTAAAAATATGAAGATATGAAAAATTTCAATTTGAAGTTTTATATTTTATATTTTTTTATATTTACTATATTTATATAATATACTATATTTTATATTTTTTAAAAATACTACATTTTTTGTGAATGTTTAATAGAATAGAATGTGGAAAACCATACTATAATTATATTATTTATTTTAAAAATAAAAAATTCAAAAGTGCTGGACATTTTATCAGGGTAAGTTAAATTTATCCAATGTATGTAGTCTATTGCACGCCAAGGTATGCCATGAGGAGCAATTTCAGCACCTAGAATTGTTTTGAAACCGGATTGAAAATTCACCGATGTCTGTCTTTCAATTAAATAAGACACACGTTATCAATAGCGTTGGTGAAAGATGAAAAACATTTAAACTATTTGATCGTTTGCTAATCAGAGCAAGATAACTGAATAGATTACTCATTCACATAACTAAGTTTATCTTTTGAATCAATAAGAAAGATTTATCAAGATTTATTATAGTACTCGAAGAATAAAAACTCCGGATATTCACATGCTGACTTTATTGATAACGACATATATTATCCGAAAAAAAGTCTTATTTGGAAATTAATTGCTTGGAATGTACAGGAAAAAAGATATGACGTATTTCACGTCTGTAAATAGCGCATGGATAAAAAAGTAATTTGAATTTCCATCTAATACTTGTTTTCTAATTAAATATTGTAGTTGCTGGGAGCGAGGATTTTCGAGACAAGAGCAGATGACGCGCACGAGACAACTTCCAGAATAGGCGTAGCTATAAATAAGAGAATGCTTACCTCTTTAGCAATGCAGCCGTGGATTTCTTTGATTTGCACTGCGATCTCTCGCGATCCGCGTTGATTATTCCAGCGTGACCAGGCAAATACATAAGTCGTAGACAATAGACCCATGCACGCTTCTAAATGCCTACTAACAACCGGATGCTTTCGAACGCTTTTAACGTGGTGGATTGAATCTTCATCGGGAAATATATCGCAGCCTGCTGCTCTTAATGTCTAATGGACATTATTTCGTGAAATGCTTTTCAGTAAATATTCTTGCACTCGTGAAAACTTACTAGAGTGAGCGCTTGGAGTGTCATGAAGTTGTGGGTCAATGCTTTTAGAGCTGGTGCACCGCCTACCACGGAATGTAAACAAACAAGATCTTCCTAGAAAATAATAGCTAGAATTATTTTCGTCGCTGAAGAAGCTACCTTGATAAATGAAAGTAAAAAGAATGTCGTGTTGGTTTATCGAAAAATACTACTTGTAGAATGTATGCGACAACTAACCCTGACGAGGAATTCCAACTGAATGATAGCTCCACTAATGGTAAGCAACACACCGCCACCGCCGCTACTCTTAGCCGATTCAGGCTTGAGCTCCCAGCTCTGGAAGGGCAAGTTGATGAAGCGGCAACCCGCTAGACCGTGAATACCGAGTCTACCGGTGCGGAAGGTGATGGTCTGCTTCTCTTCGTTATACTTGATGTCGTGAATGTCCTCGGTTGACCAGATACCTTCGTCGGGCAACCAGTGCGCGACCAACGGTGGCTCGAACCACATTACTGATTCCGGCAACCTGCACGTACACGTGTGCGACTAATGCGGATCTCATGTTTCATGATGCTTAACGGCCAAAGGTGCGGATTCGCGGTTATTTGCCCTTTCGTACGGAATGAATGCGCGCGTAGTTACTCGTCTGACGTTCTGAGCTCTATTCTACTAGCACATTTGTTTGATTTGCAAAGCATTGCGGGCATTAGATTCCTTTGAAAAGGTTCATAAATCAAATGACAATGCCTTCGGTAGAGCTATAATTTTCACATGGCGAAAGGGAACTAAATATCCGCAAAATTGTATATACAGGGGTTTTGGCTGTCTGTCATCAGCTGATATCGGGTGAAAGTAGCGTAAAGAGAGTGAAAGGAAAAAGATGGGCTTAAGTACTTGAGAGTGACGAGTGCAAGTTTCTCCATAGCAGCTTCAAGTGCTTTCATCTCAGTCTCGATGACTTCCGGGGTACGTTCGTTCTCCGGAGCTGCGGGCGGTGCCTTGTAAGGTCGCGTGAATTCCACGAATTCTAACTCTTTCGGCAGCTGCACTGTAATTAGCAGGAACAACAGCACACGCGCGCACATGCATACATACATACATACACACACACACACACGCGCGCGCGCGCGCGCACACTTGGGTTATTGACACACCTCTACTATTATCTATTGCTATCTACTGCTGATTTTTTTCCTCGTTTGATGAAATATTGACAAATTCATAAACCATGTATCGTGTGATTAATCGTCTACACGTATATCTTATCGCAATCTTTGATATCGGCTAAATCAACATGGCGATGTTTTCTTTCTTTATTATCACCGATGGACAATGAAGTCCCAAAGAGAGATCGTGACTAAGAAATTCAATACACACTTACAAGTCGTGAGGAAGATGTTGCGTCGCATGTCTTTTGGCTGGGGTGGCTGGCGGATCAAGTCTATGCGATACAGTCCACCTAACATCGTGTATTTGCGTAGGTTTATTTCTTTCTTCTTCTTACTGCAGAGAGTTCCTAGTGCTTTCCACGTTTCCTTCATGATCTCACCTGCGGAAGCAAGATTACAACTGCTCAAGATGCTCCAAAATGTCGCTCGCTCTCGCTCACTTTCTTCTCTGAATACTATTTCTTCGGGTGACTCCAGTTGTGGCGGTGGTGCCACTATGTGCTCTGTCTCATGGTCCGGCTTGCCTTTCGAGTGACCGCCTTTTTTACCTTTGCGATCGTGCTTGCTTTTCTCCACGACGACAGGCGGGTTTAAAATACGCTCGATCATCGCGCGCTTTTCCTCCAGTCGCTGCTGACGGCTCTCACGTTGTGATTCGCGAAGCTCTTTGAGCCTCCCATGCTCGCGTTCACAAAACTGTTGTAGATCTATATTGCAAATGAAATTGGCGGCTCCAGTTAGAAAATCTATTTTATTTTCATTATGAAATGCATTGTCTTCGTGCCTCTTTGAACGGATCAATTATTCAGAAACGACTCTCTTTACGAACTATGAAAAGGCTCAGAAACATTTAGATACTTAATCGCGCCAGGAATGTGCAGCTTAATTTTTCGGAAAATTAGTTGATCTCAACTGACATTCAGTTCCGAATGGTTTGTCAGCCGTCTAAACAGACGTTTCAAAAATATAACTTTACAGAAAATTCATGACACTTTTCAGTGTGTTTATAATTGCTATCTTATCAATCTCAGCAGCACAAGGCTTATTTGAAAAAAAAATTCTCGCAAGCTAATGTAATTCCGAAGCAAATGTAGCAGAGTATATTAAACAGGCCAAAAGAAAACATACCCATATCCATGCGTAATTTCTCAGGCACTTGAGGTTGTACCGACGTATGGGACAGATCAGAATAATGGTCGTAACTAAGCCACAGTACACGAATTGCTGTACAATAACAGTCGAGATCGAGCGGCATCTTTATCGTAAGACCGACCTCCTCGAAATCCACTTCAATCGGCTTCCTGCAGGAGAAAGACTGTAATCACATTGAATTGAAAGACAAATTAAGTGTTTTTTCTCCTCGGCACTTACTTGTCTTTTTCAGATACTTGTTTTATGCTGATAGGTAGCCGTATAAAAGCCCAGAAACAGCAGACAAGTGGTGTTAATTGCTGCACGTATTTTGCGTTTTTTAAATCAACTCTTATTGTGTCTCTATCGATTTGACGCAGCAGACTGTAGCTGGCCATGTCTACCCACTGCTGCAGCTTGTCGCGGAATGTTTGTCGTATCTAAGTGTGTCGTTGTATTTTTGGATTAATCGTTGCAAAACTTTTCTTTTCAAAACGACATATAGTAATGAAATGAACTCAGATTTACGTGAAAATTAAGATAAAGTAGTAATTCTCATCGTATGAATAAATCAATAAAATGACTGATTTTTCTGGATCAACAGATGCGTTGAATAGAGTACACGATTGACGTCAATTGAACATGTTTCAATTGACGTCCTTGAGAAATTTTATTTGCATATATAATTAAAGGTCTTATTATTGGGCATGTGTACTTTTTTTTTCATTTTCTACGATTTCATCGCTTCAACTCAAACAGTTAATTTCTTTTTGTAGCATTTCTATTTTGAAAATTATAGCACTGTGTAATGAGTACTCAGTAACACTTTGTGTGACTCTAAACGCAACCAATTATGCCTTCAAACTAGTTGGAATATGACAAATTTACCCGTAGGCTATGAATAGATGATAGTACATCATTTCTAACCACACGTACGTGTTTACAATCTTGAATATACGCCGGCGCCGCCTTAATGGAGAACTGAATAATCTTGTCCAATTTTCTAATGAGCTGCAACGCACCAAAAATGCACAAGAGTCACATTACTTCCCCTGTGCGCTTTCGTTTATTTTCTCGCGGCAACTTACATAAATAACGACTTCACACTGTCTGGGAAGAGTCTTCATGCTAGCATGGTCATCCTCGAGAGACCACAAGAAGAGAAAAGCATTGAGCTCCGGAAGGGCAGCTGGATCCGGTAGACCGTCGCAGGACATGTAGCGTAACCACTGCAAATGAACTCACACTCGCTCGTTTTACTTGCCATTTGTGTCAGAGCTCTGTATATTTACGCACGTCTTCCTCCTCGAGGCACTTCAAGGTGTAATCCATGAAAGCTTTACGTCGTTCGCTGACTTTGCGCCATGTTTTTTCGAGCTGCACTCGGCGTAATTGCATCTGCTTCTCCTCCAACTTGACTTTTTGCTCGGTATTAAAAGTCTCCTGCTCGATTTCATCTTGCAGCTCTTGGACCAGTCGAGTTCTAGCGACAAACAAAGAAGGGACGATTTATAATTGGCTCAAGGGGAAAGATATTACTCTGGAGTGTACAGCCTCTGTATACCGATCATCGATTTTTTTCACTTTTTCCGCCACGGCTGGCGTATCGACGTAGCTCGTGAAAAATTTTATTTTGTCGAGAAACTCGCTGACAGCCGATAACATGTTTGCTGCTTTCTTTCAAAGCTTCTAAATTGCCTCTGAATTTCGAGCGGCGACTTATCTCCCTTGAAAAATACACCGAAAATCTAACGACTTGCTGCGGATAACTTTTAATTCTCGGAAAACATTTCAATTTACATACCCTTATAAATAACACGCGCGAACGTAGTAGATCCAGAAAAACAAGGAAAAGTTAATGCGATTAATTCTAGAGTTCTCGCGGGAGTGCGAAGAGTGAAAAAGCCGAGCGTAAACTGGCAACTAGCGCGCACGCGAAAATCTTAGCGCTATAAATTTCGCGTAAAATGCAGGGGATGATGGGGGTGAGGCTGGTTAAAACGGAGAAGGGTTAAAGTTGCGTCTGATTCGTTGGATAGCAGCCAAAGGTTTGCCAGGTGTAAATACTGAAAGCCAGAGAGAGAGAGAGAGAAAGAGAGAGAGAGAGAGAGAGAGAGAGAGAGAGAGAGAGAGAGAGAGAGAGAGAGAGAGAGAGAGAGAGAGAGAGAAAGGTAGTAACATGTGTGTGCGCGCGCGCTAGAGAACTTGGTACATGCACACGTGTCTGTAGATTCAAGTGGGTGTAGGACATTTATAGTGTGCGCCGATGACGGACGAGGTGAATTGTTGTGGAAATCCTCCACGTCGCGCAATAAGTATTTTCGGACGACGCGGACGGCTCCTCCGTATACGCTTCCTCGTCGGTTAATGAACCTGCGAGTTGCGCTGTTTATAACGCTATATGCAAACCACTACCGCGCATGGCAGCGGCCTTACGAGCTTTACGCAGCCTCACAATATGTACGTCTGTCTCGGCTGATTGCGTCGAGAGCGAGGTGTAAAGTCCACGCTCCAGACGCGCGAAGGCTTCTTTGTTTTTTCGGGTTCCGCCTGAGTTAATGATCACCAGCCAGACGACAACGACGATGACCGAGTGCGGTATGCTTGACGCTAGAGTGCGACTGACATCATGTAAATAATCACCGCATGGCAATCAAGTTATTTCGATGCGACTTTTATTATCTTTTCTATATTTGAGTACGTTCGGCTTATGAGGTGAGCGGGAATACTGCGCTTTATACCAGCCGTAAAATTATTTTTAGATGGACCTTTGAAAGGAAAGCAAATCTTGTTTGGAATCAAGACGGGAATAATGGAGATAGCGCTTTGTTTACATTTGCCGCGATCTTAGTCTCAACTAAATATATCGTAATAACAGTTTTATAATTTGCATAAATGCGGATATCATTTTAATTGAGTATGTTTTAGCGGGAATAAACAGCTTCAACGAAGCGAACCAAAAATACTCACGCACGAGGATTATACACAACGTGTAAACCGGAGCGCGCGTAAGCGAAATTTCTCGACTTAATTACACGCCACACAACAGCGCGCACACCTCCGACGGAAAGCCACGAGAATTCCTCACATCAAAGCCAATTTTGGCGTGACGTGGACAATGACAAACGTGCGTAGGCGATTGCGCGAGTACCGCAGCAAAATTTTCGACAGCCAGCCCCGTCTTGCGTCTCAAGTGGCTTTATCGCAATGTTATAATTCTACACTCACTTGTCAAGCTCAAGCTCAGCTGTGGCGTCTGCGGTTGCTCCGCCTTGTTTCTCCGTTTTCGACATTGTGTCCTTCTTACCCCTCTTCTTTTTTTTGTTTCCTGCAGGACTTAGCAGCTCCTAAATTGGATCGACGATGTATTACGAAACTGTATGGGCGAAAAAAATTATAATGAAAACGAGGCAAAAACGTTTCTTTTGGTATCATAGGAGCATTCAACTGACAAGAAAACTACCGACCCCCTCAAACCGACTTCACTTTGATGGGCTGAAATTCGTCGTCAAAGTCCATCCTTAAAAATGAATTTTGCAATTTATCTCAAGGTCTAATTCATATTTTACAATGAAGTACATTTCATTTCACTTGTCATCTAAATGCGAAACTAGTGCATGCAGTTCCAACCGTAAAGAATGAAACCCTTATTCTTTTCATTGACAATTCTACTATTTTTGTGCCTATATTTGCGAAAAAAAAATTTTAATACAACAAAAAAAACATAAGTAACACCGGAAAAAATATTAGCATGGGTCGATTACGATAATAAAGTTCACCTGTTCAAGATTATTTTTCGAAACACTTTTAAAATGCAAATACCACCCCTAAAAATATTTTTTCCAATTATTTTTAGCTCCGTTAGAATTTTTTCCATAAAAATAAGCATAAAAATGGTAGAATTATCAATAAAAAAATATAGGTGGCATCTCTTACGGTCGTAACTGCATGCGCTAGTTCCGCATTTAGATGAGAAGTGAAATGAAATATATTTCATTGTAAAATATCAATTCGAAATTGAGATTAATTGCAAAATTTATTTTTGAGGGTAGACTTTGATGGCAGATTTCACCCCTTCAAAGTATATTTCTGCAGATAAATAAAATATGTCTTATTTTTCTAGGATCTATAACATATCAAGTAGTGGTTTTCATTGAGAAAGCTTAGTTCACAATTATGAATTATGATATACTACGATTCTTTTTCCTCATTACTAAACTCATAAGGCGCGAGCCGCAAGAAACTTTTGGCTATTTCATAAAAGTATTTCGCGAAATGCCTTCATATAACTATATGAATAGACGTTTATTATATTTCGGAAAAGCTAGGTAATGTTCTTTTTTAATCTCAAATATTTGTAATATTGTTAGTTATTCATAACGCACTCTACTATTAGAGCGTCATAAGTTTCATGGCATTGTTTGTGAGATGTATATCGTGCGTACACATCGTATAAACCTATATATTTCTAACATAATCTGATAAATTATTTTTCATAAAAACAAGTAGGCTTTTTAGAATAAATTTTATAATGCGACGAGTGGAACAACTGAAAAAATCTGCAATATATTGCAAACTTTTAATAAGTTTGCTTGGGTAGAGGTAAAAGTTAGCTCATTACTAAGAATGTCAAGAGTGATACTCTCATTTTAGGATAATCGAGCTTACAACGAGAGTCAAAGGTAAGAAAGAAATGAGAATAAGTACGAAGCTTCTACACTAAATTAAACAATTTTCTCATGATGAATGCTCCAGTTCTTCTCTCTTTTTTTTTACCCGGGTTTCCATTGCCGCAACATGGCAACTTAATTGAACATTCCTTGTGTAAGTATCTGCCTTTCGAACATTTCTCTCTGTTGCATTCGCTTTCTATGTTATTATCAGTATTAAACAAGCCTTTCCGTGGCCACGATAAAGTAAACAAATTTTTTCTAAATAGTTTCCTTATATTTCATTCACAATTTAATGAACTTGTTTAATAAACTTTTGTATCTAAAGAGACCTCGTAAAAATAAATTATATGAGACATGGAATATTTCCTTCTTTATCTCATCTCATCATAAATCATGACATATGTATATCAAGTACGCTCAAGAAAATGAAAGAAATGTTCAAATTCACTCTATACTGCAGAATAATAAAGATGTACTTATAACATAAATCTCCAAACAAGAAAGATCGAATAGTAAAAGAAAAAATACAATGATCTCCTTCAATTGTTGTATTTTTGCCGTGAATCCACCAACAACGACGCCAGTATCACCATTCGTCTGTGCTTCTTGAGTCCATGGCACATACTCTTCATAAGTTTCGTACTCGTCATCTTCGTCGTCGTTTCCTTTTAGGCTTGCTGCCTTATCTTGCTTGCGTGTCTTTCTGCTCTTCCTCAACGTCGAGGTCGTCGAGTATGTAGTTACCGAGGAGTCGTCCTCGTCCATCACTTAGCATCTCCCAAGACGACGATGAGATAGAGGTTAATCGCAATTTCCTCCGTAGACTGCACGAAGATCGATCGTTTTTGCTTTTCTTTTCTCGTGACTAAGGTTAGAAAAACTTGTTCCCTCTCTTGCCTTTAAGGGCGACTGTTCGAGACTGATGTTCGATGTTCGACTGATTAAATACCTAATACCTTTTTGAAAGAGAATGATCTAAATACTAGGTTGAACGTTAATGAAGATTTTATATTGTTTGTTTATTTAGTCAAAAAGTTGTGATATTTTTGTATGGATTATTGTCAGGCAATTCGAATATTGCTTGTAAAGTCTTCGTTTGTTTTTCTTGTGTGGATGTCTCCTGATATATACTTACTAGACTGAAAACATTGAGATAACTGATATATAGATAATATAAATTGGACAAATTTAATTAATAAAATCTAGAAACTGAAAAGGATAAGTATACTTCAATCAAATATTTGTAATTTGGAATAATGATTTCTGATACAAAAAACAAATTTGTTGACGATGACGATCAAAGATCTCTAACAACGAATCTAACACTTCTACTTAATCAAACAAAGCTAATGAGCTGAATATACCCTTGTTGAATTTCGCTTTGACCCATACCAGGAGCAGCAGCATCAGGGGCGGTATATGCAAAAACATAGCGAAATTGACAAAAACATAAAAAATTGACCTGATTGCAATAGCAAAAGTATTGAATAGATGCTTACTGCAATTTTGGCATGTTAGGCAGCAACGATCAGTTCTCTTTCGTTGAACCTCCAGTGAGGACGCATGAATGATTTAACGCCGCAGGCGAAAATTAACGAGGATAATCAAAACTATGTGACGGCGCGGCGGCCTTGACGACTAGCTGACGTCGAACGAAACCCGACGGAAAGGTCTACTTCATCCCTCATCGGCGGGGCCAGCAGCAGCAGCAGCAGCAGCAGCAGGCCGAAAGAGAACTTGGTAATGAGCTCGTTCCCTAGTTAGCACTTCTACCAACTGTTTCGCTTCTATAGTTTGTAATAGGATCAGATACGCTCAAGGCGCATAGAGAATCATCCTTTATAAAGTTGGTTTTAAGTATTAGCGCGTGGCCTTATATTGCGCGATGTTAACTTTGTAATTGTGTCTTGGATAAAAGAAATGAAAGTTTTCTTGTTTAGGAGAAGAGTTCGAAATAAAGACATAATTTGAGCGATGAGGTCACACGTATAAATTAATGAAAACAGATAATTTTTAGAAGAAAAAAGTGTAGTAATTTGACATGTGCTTCCTCTTTTCGAATAACAAATTTCTTGTGATTGAGCCAAATTTGTTACACTTGTTTCTAAAATTCTTAATTGCGAAATATGCGTGTCTAGAGCTTGAAGCAATAAAGTTTGTGTAGTAAGAAACATGAATAACACGTAATATACGCTATAAATTCAATTATGTTAGCTCGTTAAATCTTGAAATTCATTTTTTTACTAAGAAAATTAATTTCTGCTTATAGACTTGTAAAAATTAGAATTTGAAAGATTTTTAATGAACCACTTTCCAGATCTAGGTTTTGACAGATTTTTTAGATTGCGATCAAATAAAAATTTGTTACAGATTGGCGATTATCTAATCATGAAACATTTAAAAGTACTAAAATAAAGAGTAAAGATTTTCAAACTTATTTCACGATTGAAGCTTTAGAAACGCTTAAATTGTATGTTATTTGAAAGACCGGCTAGCAATTCTGATTACGGCATACATAATATACAGTAACTAATTAGCGTTATAAAGAGCTCAGTCATTTCGTTATTCCCGAGCAACAGCGCAATTAATCTCACTTAAACGCTAATGCTAACTTTTGTAACAATGACGTGTGCGTTTATTTCCGTCGAATTCGTCTTTTTCCAGTTGTTCGCAAATTTCCAATTGGTTTGTTTATAAAACTGTATATCAATCATTTCATATAGTACGTGACTGATGCAACTAATTTCTATTGAAAAACTGTTTAAAGTATACACCAATTTGAAATAATAGAGCTTGAAAAGTCCCACGACACAGCAATTTCGGCGGACATTGACATTGACTTTGTTATACACGTGCGCATGTATCAATCACTAGCATACAATATCCGTGAGTAACGCGATGCATTAATGCCTCAGCGGTATTGTTTGTTCCACTCCTGCTGTTCGTGCTACGTAAAAATGTATGCTTAACTCAGTATTTTTCGCAAGTGATCAATTCACACGTACTATAATCAATGACCTCTTCTAACTCATCTATTCGCTTATTCCTCAAAGATTTGAAAAAGTTTACTACACAGCGATGAATACATCTTTTTTTAAAATTGTGCTCATTATTGAAGAAAACCTCATGGTGATTCATTTTCGATTACCATGGCTCAGTGTGAAAAGCCAAGAGTGGATAAAAAAAATTGCAGCGCGCAGCAAACATATCCATTGGAGGCATGCAATCCGATGCAAGCTAATCTAAGCTCTTTTGGCGTTCGCTCGCATTATCCCCGTCGGTGTTAACGTTTATGAATACAGCGGCGCGTCGGTGCTTGGCACGTGCAGGGCGCTGCAGTTGCGCAAAGTTTAATCGAGCTCTCACCCTGGGCGTGCTATCGTAACGGTCATTATCATTACCATTATCGAGGCTTTCCTCCTCGCACGCAGCACGCAGCACGCAGCACGCACGCACGCACGCACGCACGCACGCGACAGTTCTTTGAACTTGCGCTCGCGCATAAAATCCCGATCGCCCGTGCACAAATGCGTCTGCTCCGCGGATAAATAATTAATGAGGCTCTCCACTTTTGACCCGAGAGCGCTCCGCGAACTTCCTGCTTCTGGCCCGCGCTTCTTCGCTCGTTTTTTCCAGTCAGTGACAAGGTGGCGATCGCCGACGACGAAAAGAGTCGTCGCCTTACCCAACCCACGAACATAAAGCTTCGCGCTGGCGTGGCAACTGTCGCGGGCGCTCGCCACGCTCACAATCGTCGTCATTGTCGTTGCTTGCATACTGTTGCTGAAAGACCATTTTCTCGGTGGCTGCAAGGCGCTGTTCGTGGAGCCTCTCGGAACGCTGACACGCAGACCTGTTTGATTTCTCTTTGCTTTTCGGTTTTTCAAAGTGGTACGTTGTGGATTTTGTTTTACTCGACGCCAGTGAGTTTTTCAAAAACAAGTGAGCGACGATTTCGTAACAGGATTTCTCAGTGAACCATGTCCGAGCATTTTTTCCTGATCGTCGGATAGCCAGGTGTCATTTTTGTTTCTAGTTGAATATACGTCTCCATTAAACGTATATGTTAAAACGTCGACGGAAATGTTTTTGTGATCTTCAATGCTTGTTGACAATCGCATGACTTGACTGTATTGCGTTTATAGCTTCCTACAGTTAAATGAATTTCGAGGCTTCCCGATAGTCTTTGCATACCTAAATACAAAGTGATTTCGAGAGCCACGCATATATGCAAATCTAAACCCACGAATCTTTCCCATTACTTGAATATGCAGATTGCTCCTTTGAGTTATATCAATCGAACTGTCCGTTAATTTCTCTCTGATAAAAACCCCTTGCACTTTCTGTCTGCATGGCACGGAATGCTTATTGTTATCAGCTCATTTATTATTTCAAGTTGTCACTTGAGTACACTACAAAAGAATTCTTAAAATAAGAATAGTTTTAAAACAAATGCAAAGCAAATTTAAGTAATTATTGTTTCTGATCCGAAAGCTTCAAACATTTTCTAAAAATAACAGTACTTATCATAAGAGTTGCTTATACTTGCTTTAAGTATTTTATTTTGAAATGATAGGCATATAAAATTATAGTAAACTGAAACAATAACAGTTGTTATTCAATAAATTACGTTTCTTTGCTCATTGATGTAAAATATTTAACTACGTAAAATATGTCGATTTTTGTCATTTATATAATATTTTTTAAGTTCTGTAATTTATGTAAAATTTCTTTTAAAATTAAATTTTATTTTTTATATTAGTAATTAACTCTTTCAGTTATCGCTGATTTATTTCAATTTCTCGAGCACATCACTAATATTGAACTGACAAGCAACAAACGCGGGAGGAAAATTCCGTTTTTATTATTTGCACGATAATATATCGTCGATTTTTAAGTAAAAAATTACTAAACTTCATTAATGAGAATCTTAATCTGATTTTAAGATAGATAAATTTATACAAAATTATTTCTTAATTCAAAAGTAATATTTCCTAATTTAAGAATGAATTATTGTTACTTTGAGAACACTATTCTTATTTCAAGTTGAAAATTTCTAAATTTAAAAAATTGATAAAAATTATTGTTTTCACAATAAAAAAAACTAATTTATGTATACGGTAAATTTATGAATTTTCTCTTTAGTGTCATTAAAAACGTGATAATCAATCAAAATGTCGTAACGTTTGCTAAGCAGAAAAATAATGAGTCAGATAGACAATGCCCGTAAACGTTCTCGTTCTTGTTAATAATGCAAACCTGACGTGCTCGTGAAATCTACGATTTTGATTTTCAAATCGTTATACGCGCACGCTCTCGGTTTACGTACACGATTGTGGGTTTTGGAAAAATTTTGTTACTATTTTAAGACAATGCTCGACACTAAAAATGCAATCCACAACGTGTTCGTACGCTGATACACGTGTATGTACAAATCAGCTGAGCATATGCAAGATGCAAATATTAGCTAGCTCACGCTCGAAATATGAACTCACGCGATCAGGTAAGATTTTTGGTTAAATCAGTGAATTTAACTTTTAGGCATGTACTGATGAATAATGTGATTAATGATTTTATAAAAAAGCGAGATTTTTTTAGAGAGAGAAAGAGAGTATTTATAATGTTAGGCATTGCGTTGTAGATGAGCGTCGAAAAAATGGATTCGTCGGGGCCAATAGCATCGTTCTTTGCTGGGCGGAGTATCTTCGTAACTGGGGCTACGGGTTTCATGGGTAAAGTGCTGATCGAGAAGCTCCTCTGGTCTTGTCCCGACGTCAAAGAAATCTTTCTCTTGATGCGTCCCAAGAAGAACATTCCTATCGACGACAGATTGAGAAAAATACTGACTTTGCCGGTGCGTATATATATCCAAACCAAGAGATTCTTGTAAGCGAAAATATTTCTATTTTGCGAACGAGATTTTCGCTCGATAGATTGCGAGGAAAAATTAAGAATGACTCGATTAAAATTATTCGTTTGTTTGTTTGACCGCTTGTTGATGGATTTCGGATGAAAAAAAAAACAAAGTTCTCCAATCATGAAAACTTACGTAATTGTTGTGTCAAAGTGTTACTTCATCATTTTGAATAAAAACTTCAATTTGCTTTCATTACTTTGTAGTATATTCTACAATATCATACCTTGGATTTTACATATTAATTTAAAAATTGACTTCCCAAGTACAAGAAACTTACTTCTTGAATTGACGCGGTTGTTGGTCAAAAATATTTTATTATTATTTTTTGAAATACCGATTAAAGATCAAACATAATACCATTTGATATTGTTAAGGCTCTGCAATATTTTCAACTTAGAAAAATCTCTAATCTTAAATAAATAACCCTCCTACAGCTATTCGATAGGATACGTGAGCATCGGCCAGAGAATTTGAATAAACTAATCCCAGTAAGCGGTGATGTGAAAACCGAAGGTTTAGGCTTACCTCCGGTAGAGCGACAATTCCTCATCAACAAAGTGTCAATTATATTTCACGTAGCCGCCAGTGTACGCTTTGATGACCCGCTACGTGAGGCTGTATTTATTAATACCAGGTCCACCAGAGATGTCTGCATACTTGCTGCGAACATGAAAAAGTTGGTGGTAAGCTTGCCTTCATATTTTTTGGCTTCTTTCGCATATGACTAGTCTTAGAAAAGTCTTTTGCATCGTTGCGGCGAAATCACACCTATCTTATTTTTGTGTCTTGGGCTAACGAGTTGATACTCTTATTAAATTAGGTATGTAAAATACTTCAAACTTTATATCTAGTACTAAATAATAAATGGCCATTTGCAAGTTAATTGATGGTAGAAATAAAAAAGTAAAAGTAAAAAAGCGCTAAAAGTAGTTAAAATTTGCGAATCAATCAGTTATATGAAAAAGCGAAAGGCTTCCGTGTAATCAAACTTTGATGTAGAGTTTCGCTGTGTATTTGCAAGTCTCAAATTTTGAGAATTACTGATTTGTTCATTGTCTTTTTATTTGTATGAGAAAAATAGTCTTTGATGCACGTGAGTTCGACATATAGTCACACGGACAAATACGAAGTTGAGGAGAAGCTCTACCCTTACGATGTCAACTGGAAAAGGGTCATTAAAATTGCTGAAATTATCGACGATCATACTCTGAGAATTCTAACGCCCAAGTAAGTTGTCGCGTATATATTTTAGAATTCAGTTTCATGATGATGTTTTGGTTCTTAAATCGTTGATTTTAATTTTATTGAAAATAACTGATAAACTGTTTAAAATATTGAGGTAAGATCAAAACTCAGCACGAGAAATTAGAATTTCATTTTCCATGGAAACGTAAAATTAATTTGTCATTTGTTAAATATCTTTTTGCATTTACTTCGATCTTTCATTGTTATGATTCACCTATGTAAACATTTTTAGCCAAATTCTTTTTTGCAGTTCATGTGCTCAGCCGTTCTTTATACAAATTATTATCGAAGTATATTCATCTCCGGGTTATTCTAAATTTTTTAAATATCTACATAAAATAAAATTTTCATTGATATTTTTTAGATTCATGGAAGGATTTCCAAACACATATACCTTTACAAAACGACTGGCTGAGTGTGTAGTCACCGACTACGCCGGTATATTACCAATCGTGGTATTCAGACCATCTATAGGTAAGTTCAGTCAAGAAGAAAAAAATTTATTATCGTTATCGTGGAGTTTCACTTTGAATATTTGCGAAAAGAGATTTCATGAAACGCATATAATTATTCCTATTTCATAAGCTCCATTCTTATTATGTCTCATCGTTCAATAAAAACTCACGTCAAATATGGTCAGAATTAAAGTTAATAAACGCTCGAATAAATCATTACTATGTGTTTCAGTTATCTCATCACTGGAAGAGCCAGTACCAGGCTGGCTGGACAACTTCAATGGGCCAGTAGGTTTGATGGTTGGTGGCGGCAAGGGTGTCTTAAGGGTAGCTTACCTGTCGTCCCATAGTTCTGCTGATTTCATGCCAGTCGACGTGGCTATCAAAGCGATGATTGTCAGCACTTGGAAGCGCGGCACTGCTACGTAATTCCTTTTTCCTCCTCTTACTCTTTTTTTACTTTCTCATGTGAGGGTGGTCGTAATTTTTATTGATCAACTTTTCCATGTGCGGTTTGGTTTCCGATGCTAATGAGCTAAATACTTTTTTTAATTTTATTTAGACACTGTAAACGGTCTGACTTTTTCTTTACGTGCGATCTTCATCACTCTACAGGCAAAATTTAACATATTTTCAAAGTGCTATCGCGAAAATTCTTGACTTTTGTTGGCGTGAAATGAACAAGCCTGTGCATTTTCGATTGTTTAAGTCTTTTGTACATACAAGAATGGATAATTGAAATTTTCAATTAAAACAGGCAATTAAGTATTACGTCAGGTTGAAGAAAAAGGAACTTCCTGCAGCACCCAATTAAAAGTTCTTTTCATTATAAAACTTTTACTTCACACGCAGCTTAAATTCACATCCCGATTAAAAAAAGGAATTGTCTGTTATAAGTGCGCGAATGCGCCCTTTACATGCAAATAGAAAGTTGAATTTATTGTACGCGTAAAATAAAAGTTAATCCAAGAATTATTATTATTGTTTCGTATGAACATTCATAAGCTTTTTTATGTTTTTTTTTTATTTTGATTGTAGGATCACAAAAGAGCCAGAAATTCACGTTTATAATTGTTCCTCGGCTGATCTTAAAAGTATTAGCATGGCCGAAATTGCAGAGATGGGAATTCGCTTGACCGAGAAAATTCCACTAGAGAATATTATTTGGAAACCATCAGCTACTGTCACTTCAGTTAAATTCATCTACTACTTGCTTACCCTTATACTTCATTTGCTACCCGCCTACGTCATCGACTTCATTCTCAAAATGGCAGGCAAGAAACCTATGTGAGTGATTTGCATACAAGCCTTCTAAAACTACGTCCAAAGGTCAACTGGTCGAAAAGAATTTATGAATTTACGGCAAACGCTATGTTGAAGAAAGTAATTTTTTTTCTGGCCTTGGGATAAATAACCCAATAACCCAATATTTTTCAATAAAAGTTTAAGATACTTAACGTAGAGAATATATTATAAACATCAGCGACATTCGATTAAAGAATAACATTATTCGACGTCCAAATTTTCCATTGAAAGTTGAAGGTCACTTCTAACGTAGTTTAGAATGATTGAATATAAAAGTGGCATTCAAATGTTTTATACATTTGACAATTTGCCATATTCGCGTGACCTTCTTTCTAGTATTATTTTTAGTAAGTTTATTATGACACTTAAGAATGACTTATTCAAACTTTACTACCTATTTTCGAGCGTTCTGATATCAAAGATAACTTATCCTTAAAACAAGATTTCTCATAAAATTTTGTTGTTTCATTTGCAATAATACACTCGATGATTATAAAATGACAGGACTTCAGGTAACTTTGAATAATAAATTTACCTACTTACAACACTAATGTTTGCCTAACAGTATAGTATATAAGCTCGAGGAAAATGACGAAACGAAATAAAATAAAACGGTTTTGTAAAGTGCAAAATTATTGAACACTTGCTTAATATATTAGGAAACTATAAAAAAATAGAATTTATCGATATCGATACATTATAATACCATATACCACTCATAGAAGTATCAATAATCTTATATATCAAGTTGGAAAGGCAGAGTGCTTAAACGAATATAAAAGATAAAGAAGCTATGATGTATCTGCAGGTTGGTGAAACTGCAACGCAAAGTTTACGTGGCTAACAGTGCTCTCGAGTACTTTTTGACGAACGAGTGGAAGTTCAAGAATGAGAAAATGTTCGATCTCGTGACAAATCTGCCGCCCGACGACGCCGCCGCCTTTGGCTTCGAATTGGCTACCTTCGATATACACAAATATTTTGAGTTAGTATCTGAAAGTTCAGTTTTTACGTTACAAATATTAGTCACGTAAGGATTATTTCAGGAGTTACTGATCATTTGTTTATTTAGAGCATTTCGAAACAAAGAGAACCTTAATGCATTCGAAATTAGCTGTACCTGCAAGAACGAGTTGCGAGTGCAATAAAAAATCGTTGTATTTCAATCCTCTGTTATTTAAATGTTAACACTCTACATAAAAGCTTACTTGGTATTTTATGTAATGGAGAAAGATTCATCCACGCGAGAGGAAACGCGAGAATCGTTGAACGAGCTCTGATATATATTTTTTGTTGTATGCGTTTTTTTGTAGGAACTGCATAATCGGCGCGAAAAAGTACTTACTCAAGGAAGACATGAGGAGGCTGCCGGAAGCCAGGGTGCACTACGATCGGTAAGTCGACACACTTTTTTTGTTGCCATTCGTATAAAAGACACATACACCCTTTGCCAGAAAAATAAACGTGGTCGCGTCGCGGCTCGACGACCCTACTGACCCGATTCTCACGTGAAATAAACTTCTTAGTCAGTTGGCGTAACGAATGTAATTCTCCGCCACCTCGTAATCGTTTTAGCTACTCTCTCTCTCTCTCTCTCTCTCTCTCTCTCTCTCTCTCTCTCTCTCTCTCTCTCTCTCTCTCTCTCTCTTTCTGCTTTTTGAAGCTTTTCCAGCTGTTGGTTTTGCCGTTTCGCCAGATTAAAGAAATTTGCCGAGGGCTTTTCAAGTATCCCTTTTCTTTCGTTCTTTTCATTTTTTGATGGATTACTTTAAGGATGTGATGGATTCAATTTAAAACGAAATTTCAAAAAAGCTCGATATTTTCGATATGTAACAAAATGTAAAAGTAATTTTAATGCTAATTTTTCAAGTTTTCTTGGCATTTTGTATTTTGCTTGATGTATTTAATATAAAAATGCATTTCATAAAATTTGAATTTTTCTGAATGACATTCTATACCAGTGACTTGGGACAAACGTATTACGAAGTTCTTATCTTTTCTTTCTCGTCGTCAATCGAATTCACGTTTATTTGCATATTTCATTACGAATTTCTCGTATTCAAAATCTATTTATACAACTAAAAATATTACTTCTACCCGAAGCGTTAAAGCAAAAAACAATCAGCAGTAAATCATGAGAAGATGATTTCGTGATAGCGCGATAATGAAAGAAGACATAGAGCGAATAAACTAGGTAATGCATCAAGCAATAAAATCAAGAGTGCCGTGGAAAAAAAATGCCAATAAAGTCAGTCAGTCACTCACTGAAGAAGCCGCCAGTGGCTTTGAAGAAACGAAGGACGACAGGCGCTTGGGCAGGACACTGTTCTACAGATGAGGGAGAAAGAAGGTAGTGGAATATGGGTATACGCAGAGAAAGAGACAAAAAGAAAAAAGTCGGTATGTCCCACTGTGGCGTTTGAGCGTTTGATCGATCGCGCCAACTGGGTCGCGTAGGTGGTTTGAAGAGTGGGGGCGGTTCTGCTACCGCTACTGCTGCTGCTGCTGCTGCTGCTGCTGCTGCTGCTGCTGCTGCTGCTGTTGGCACGCGCCAGGTGGCCTTTCAAATCGAGCGAGAAAAAGACAAAAAAGTAAAAAAGAAGTGTATGGCTCAACGATTAATTGACTACACCCAATGAAATGTTCTATCTGCGAGTGTCGGTTTGCTGCTTGTGCGGTTTATCGGCTATTGGTTTTTCCTCGGGGTGAGATCATCATAATTTTTCATTAGATAGATTTTACTGGCGAAATTAGTCGGTGATGAGATTCTTGCGGTGCGTTGAAATACCGATGTCATGAACACATGGATTTACTCTTTCTTATTAGTAACAAGTTGGAACTAATTTTACAAATTGAAAATAAGGTCGATTGATTGTCACTTTTGAGATACGAAATATTAGTTTTAAAGTTACAAGAAAGACTTATTAAACATTTCCACTGTGTCCAACTTTGCAGAAGATATCGCTTGGCAATCCTTTCACTAATAAAGAGAATGTTACCTGAGGCAAAAACGTTAAATTCTCAATTTGATTAAGCAATCTCAACAATTAGTTTGAGAATATTTGTAAGAGAAGATGTAAACTGTTGCACGATGTATATATAAACGATGCAAACTGAGCTGTTGAAGCGTTTAAAATTAGACTCCGCGGAAATTAATATATCCAATGAAAAGCGCGAATTGACATCGCGTTCATTGCCTGTGCTACTCATACAGAGTAATCTCAGCAATGAAACGCTGTATATTGCTTTCGAATGTCACACCCAAATAAAATCCAATGTTAGCAAAAGTACGAAAAACAACAAAATATGTAGCAGCGGCAGTCCGCAACGAATCGTAAGCCTCAATAAAAAGCGACATTTTGCGCTTCAATTGCCTCTCTCTTGCACACAAATCAACGAGCTCGGGACTGAACCGGACTTTAATCCGCGGTGTCCGCTCTCGACACTAATAGCATTTACGCGCCACGTGAGTCAGCGAATTTTCGATGAACGACGTAAATACAGTACGTTTCTGCATTCGTTTCGTGTACATTCGGAAAGGGAAATCATCTGTGCTTACGAGGACACACGTGTGCGAGACGTCAGATAAGATATGAATACCATCCGAAAAAAAGTTTAAATTTCTTTTTTGAGATTGAGGAAATTGTAATCCATTTATAGCCAGAAATAACACAACGGACTCTAGAAGCGAAGTTATAATCTCAGCTCTTCATTCTTTGTGTCTTCGTTGTTAATCTAAAAATTATATGATGCGATCGCATAATTTTAATGATTATTAGGATTAGATGCTAATAAATGAGCTCTCCTGGTGTTCACATAGTTGTAGAAAAAAATGAGTCGTTCTAGCGACAATTATAGTCGATTAGCCACGCACGCAGCGAGTTCTCAAGAATCTGAGATACGGAGCAACCATGCCGATCGTTGCGTCGACAATGATTTTCATCTTTAATAATAATGTGACGAGGACAATTGAGACGTCTGAAGTTTCGCATTCAAACGTGCCACTTGTTACTGTTTACGCAGTTTTTCTCGAGGTTCGCAGTAATGTTTTCCGTAGAGACTCTTCATTTTTATTTTACTACAAACGCTGTTTTATTCGTAGTACGTTAGGAGTTATTTATAACGAGCATCAGTGGAATACAAGATCGCGATGTTGCGGAGTCGATCCGTGGAGAATTATCATTGAGGTACGATTTTCGAATCAGCAAATGATAGATCTTTTTCACATCTTATTTTGTAATTGAGGTTTATTTTATGATACACGTTGCAAATGCCTTATAAAGTTCTTTCAAGATTCTAAAGCATTTAAACTCTATAAAATTTAAAGAGTCTTTAGAGAAAAAGTTCCATGCTTGTATGTAGTTCCCAATTATCTTAAGTTACATAATACAAGAACGTAAACATAATTGCATTTAATATTTCCGTGAATATTTAATCGTTGAGTCCAATTTTTGAGCAGAGAATAGGAGTAGATTTTATAAGAATTAGAAACTCCTATTGAAAATTTTATTCATAAAGAGAAGTTATTGTCAGCTTGACGCATGCCATCATAATTCCGTTTAGTTTTCATCATCAAATATGACGTCATAATCATTCTCACAGTTTAGCTAGATGATTTCATGAACGCAATTGAAATTCTCAGAAATAAAGTTATAGTTGCTGAAACACGCAACTTTTTTTTGAATCTATACACAAATTGAAATTGCAGATGCGTAAATACGACGAAGCTTATTTATAAAGCATAATCCTGCAACGTCATTGTCATCACGTAGAAAAACAGCATTTCCTCCATCATAAATAAGCAACCCACGCAATCAATGTAATTACGACACTTGAAAATAAAAAAAAATAACTAAAACATAACGTTTAATTTGTTGCAGGATCTATTGTATTGATATAGTCTTCAAGATCTGGTTGTCGGTGATCATCGTGTGGGGATTAATGCATTACGGATTCGTTGCTTACGAGGCGCGATTGTACCGATCGATTGTTGAGCTGTTCACTGCATAATTATCGTTGTCGACATCTTCTTCTTCTCGTACGCATTTCATTTACGTCACATGTAATATGCAAGGTCCTTTCGCGTGCGCAGGAATCCCGCGCGACCAGGCTATTTATAACCATAATGTATACACGTCCTACGTCAATGAGAAGGTGCGGTGAATGTATTTTGAGAAACCCCACGAATGCCTTGGTTTTCAGTCATTTTTTCCCGATTTTACTGGAATCACCGTGGCCGCAACTTGCGTAGGAATCATACAAGCAATCTGCTGATTTCTTTCTATATTTCTTCGGTTCTTTCCATGCGATTTGTACGACTCTCCTGAGAATTTCACATATTTTTTCTTTGTTATGTGTATTTCTGTATAAAAATTATCATAAAAATTACACTATTTTCTTTATTATCCTTGTCCCGTATAGTTAGAATCGAATGTATCGATGATTTCTCCGAATACACAATAATAATTTAGTAATAAAAAAAAAATTAACTATCGATTAACTATAAAATATTTTCTATAAAAAATTAACTATAAAATATTTTCAATGATTTTAATTACGGTTCGTTAATATTTTTTGTTATTTTTAATATTTTCAACAATTATAGTGGTAAATTGAAGTAGATATAAATTTGTAACACTGCTGAATTATCAAAAATTAAGAATATCTTCATACACAATGATTCTTATATTATTTAGATAACGGCTATTGAACTCGCTTAAAAATTGTACAGTACTGTTTTATATTGAAGATTCAAAGAACAGAAGCATTGCTGTACAATTTGATTGTTCGTTATATTGATTGTTTCTTTTCATAAATAAACGTTGTATTTATTATAATATGTACGTGTGGTTGTTAAATTTGGACGCTCACTCGGAATATGAAGGATGTGAAACATCGACGACAGCTGAAATGGAAAAATAAAAAAAACACCTTGCACATTGCCGGGATCAAAACCATTTCACTTGAAGACAAAAGCACAGGCCGTATCTGATGCCATCTCTGCAGTTGATGCTGCAACTAGATTTTTTCCAAGCAAGAACATCAAATTGAGACTGCTGAGAGTACAGGTAATGCAGGTCCTGTTGGCCGAACAAATATTGACGCGGTTTTTATCGACTTAAAGTAGTTGGTGACTTGGGGACGATCGTACGCTTCGGGGATGATGCGCGTATGATGCTTGATAATTCGTCAATGGTGCTTAACGTCTGTATCCCTATCTGTCCTCTTCGTCATAGAAAGCTTTTAGAGCCCTGCGAAACTAAAACGGAACTAAGTATTTGCCAACAAACAAATTCTTTAGCAACGCTTCTTTGAATCTATAATATACAATTAATTAGGAAAAATGAGGGTAGAATGATTGTATTGATATTTTTATATCATAATCTATTGATTATACACAAAATTATCTGTGTGTAATAGCAATTGCATTGTAATTGCATAAACTATTAGCGATCGTAAATTGGATAAAATGAAGAAAATCTAAAATTAATTAACACATTTAATACATGTATAATATATTTGCGCTAAGTATTCAACTGCAATTATATGTAATTTAAACTAAATTGCAGTATAGAGATAAGGAAATTTTATGCCTATAGTTATTATTTACGTGTATAAGAAATTATCTAAATGTTATCAAGACGTGGCCTAAAAAAGTTTTTTTTTCCACTAATAACAGTTCAATTTTGTGCTTACTTAACGTTGCAATTTCTAGAAATTTTTTTTCTTGGTAGTAGAAAAATGTTATAATATTCCATATCTCATATTCGCTAGTTAAAGAAATATTATTTATAAAATATCACGTGACTTGAGTTGTCGATAAATTACATTGATATTTTCTTTCAAGCATTATATCGATCATTCTTTTAAAATCATACGGGCAAGAATTTTTTAAATAAAGAGAGGAGAAGGATTTCAAAGACTTGACGGGGAACGTGGGATCATCCGCATTACAAAGCCTGAGTTGTTGGCGAGCGATAGAGGGCACGGGGAGGGTGGCAGGCTGGAGAGATACATCAGAGGGAGCCTCGGGTGAAGGTACGATTTACCCAAATATCCCGTCTACCTCGTTCCGGGAAAGATCTTCTGATGTTGGTGATGTGGTGGTCCCTATGCTAGATGTTAGGTACGGCGGTGTGAAAGCAGCAGCGCAAGCTTAACAATGGGCCGTGTGTACTCACCGAACGCGGTACGGATTCTTATGGAGCGGACGAGGCTGCCCTGGATGGGTCTCGAGGATGCAGCTGAGGGGTCATCTCTCTTCTGGATGTAGGAGTGAGTGGTCCGCGATGACCACGAGGTCGCCGACTTGGAGGTTTGGCTAGTTGGTCCTTCATTTGAGGCGCTGGTGCAAGGTATTGAGCTACTTGCGGCTCTAGCGACCTCAGAACTCTTCGCGCAAAGCCTGAACGAGTTCACATTCCTGGGCCCGATCCAAATTGGCGGTCGCTGAATGTAGCTGGGGAGTTGAGATGGCCAAACTCCCGATGAGGAAGTGGCTCGACGTTAAAACGTCCAAGTAGCCGAAATCTCTGACGAACGGTACAAGTGACTTGCTATTGAGCATGGCCTTGATGGAGACGAGGAGTGTTGTGAACTCCTCAGTGGCGATGCCCTCAGGGGGGGGGGGGGGGGGCTATCCAGTAAAGATGGACCTTCATGCTCTTCGCATCAATCTCCCAGAGGCCGCCGAAGTGGGGGACCGCCAGAGGGATAAATTTCCAAGAGATGCCGTCTTATGCAAACGTACCTTTCATCGGTCTCCAGTCGATCTTGACCTCCAGCAGCAGTCGTCGGAGCTCCAGGCATGCATCACGAAAGTTGGAGCTGTTGTCGCTTCAAATCTCAGTGAGGCGTCCCTCCTTCTGATGAAACGGGTGAAGGCTCCTGAAAAGCTGGCCATAGTTAGGTCACCGACGAGTTCCAGGTAGATCAGTTTCGTGTTCATGTACACGAAGAGCGCTACACGTATTCCTTGATAGTGGACAGACCTCGTCCTCTGTTTCGGCTAAGAGGGAATTGGCCGACGTGATCCACCCTACAGTGACTGAAGGGTCGTGAAGGAGTCACTCTGACGGTTGGAAGGGGGGCCATTCCTTGGGTGGACGTACACACGGAGATACAGGTGCAGACCAGGCACTAGTGAATGTGGCGCTTTATGCGATATCGAATCTCCGAAAAGGCGCAGCCGCCCACCGTTTGAGTGAGCAAAAAGATATGAAAAACTTATCTTGGCGTTCTTTTAATAGCTCTGTTCACGCGATAAAGACGAGAAGAGAAGGGTTTTGTTAAAAAAGAATTGTTAAAAATGTTTAGAAAGGGTGAAAGTAGAAGACACTTAGGAAGACGCAGGTAGTCGAGGGCCGAACCAAGTAAAGATGTCGGCATTCGATGACTACCTGTCTTCGGCCTCGTGGTTTAGTGGGTTATGTAATAAGTAAAAAAAAATTATAATTTTCGTAAGGCGAATTTGAGCAAAAATTGTTAAAGAAAGTCTGCGTTAGTTTTTTAAGCCACTTACACGATGTACTCGCGCAGAGTAAAGTGCCCGACGCGAACGTATTTATTAGAATGCTGTACTCAAAATCTCTCACACAGCTTCTGTTGAACTTGATGTGCATGAGCGCAAAGGCGTTTCGTGGCCGTAAAGCCAATTCCTGGCTTCAGGAGTCTGACTCTTGGAGGCCGTTAGACCTCGTAGGAATTCCGACTTCCGGATTTTGTAAGTCGCCTAAGGACGAAAAGGGGAAGCTGCTTAGCTGACCTAGGGACCGATAGGCTAGCGAGCGGAGGAGCGAGTGAGAGAGCATGAGTTGTCAAGTAGACGGGGTGTGGTCTGAATATTACGATGCGTAAGGCCTAATGAGGGAGGCTACCCTCCTAGGGATACTACGGCGGCTCGAACGAGACGAGCCACCGACAATTTGCTTCTTTTCACTCACTTTACTTTTTGGCCTGCGACGGTCAAGTTGCTTTGCTCTCGAGCAAATTAAAACATTAACTTCAAATAAAAATGTTATTTGTATCTTATTTCCGCTAAAATAAAATTCGTTATTTTTGTTCACCCCGTCCTTTTCAAGAATCTTGACTCAGTTAGCTGTGTTGAAACAATCGCGGTTTTATTTAATCGGACAAGATAGGGAGCTATGCTCTTTTGGATGATATGTTGCTTCTGCGTCGTTATTAGTGACGTCGTGTATTGGGGAGACGCCGGATGATCCCCCCTACCGAGCCTGAACTGTTGGTGAACGATAGAGGGAGGGAGGGAGGCCGGAAAGATGCACGGTGAGCAATAGAGGGAGCCACGAGAGAAGGGACCAGTTGCCCAAACAACAAATATAGACTAACTATTCATTGCAGGGTATAACGAATATTCTGCGTAAACTTTTAGACATAGTATTTAAGAATATTTTACAAAGTTTTGCAAATGTGCAGTTACTAGTATAATATAGTATCATTTTGATTTTCACTCAGTATGTTGACTTTCGAAAAAATCAAATTATGCTTGCATGTGGAATTGCTTATTGAAAAATTAAAGCGGTAATAATCAAGAGCATGAATTTCGAAACAGTCAAAAGATTGATTTATCTAAATTGTAAGTTTACTTATAGAAATGAATCCAAACAGGAATACACAAGAAAGAACTGAATTGTGTACTGTAACTGTTTTATTTTTTCTACTTTTCTTCAAATTAACAGTGCGATTGCAAGTGATTTATAGTTATTACGGTGATTCGAATACCCGGATGAAACATGCGATGAAACTCACATCGCACTTAGAATTATATCTCTAATTACACAAAGAAAATTTTCAGATCTTTGCGATGATGCTCGAGAACACTTCCTGTCAATTTTCATTATATCGCGTGTAAAAAAATCTCGTGACTTCAGCAAGTAAAAAAGTCAGTATTCTAACTGTCTCTATCTAACAAACAAACGATAGAAAGCTTATCTGTCCCTAGAGTGTAATTACGCAATCGTAAGTGACTGTTTTCATATATAGACGTATATGTGTGCATACTGACTTTGATATCGTATCTGCTTTCATTGTTGCCGTTATCATCGTCATTTGCATGACAATACCAGTGCGCGCGCGCGTGTGTGTACGTGTGAATCGCAACTCTGTGAATTTTAGATTCGCTCTACTTCGCAAGTCTCAAGCGAGACACCATGTACTTTGTCAAGAGGCAAGATTTAACCCTCCATTCGATTTCAAGAGTAAATAAAGTCAGTTTTAGTCTGTTGCCTTGTTTATTGGATTCCAACAAACTTTCGATTGCGGTTCCTTGAGTTTGAGTGATAAAGCTCTAAGTACAATAATACGTTTCAAAAGGAACGTTAAAATTAGCTCAACAAAATCATCAAAATCGCGGAGAATATTTGCGAATATTTTTGCTTCTGACATTATCTGAAAGAGATATTTTTAGATTCATAGTCAGGTCGGTAGTAATCAGGCTAGTGTTTAGCGGAAAAGTATAGTATACCTAATTTATGGATGAACGCTGTTAAAAAAAATATACAAACTAACATTTCATGTGCCATAAATTTAGATTGAAAATTTCAAACTTGAACTGACATTCTAATATTATTTGTATTTGACTCGAGCCAATTTGAAATTTTAGGTTAAATTCCTTTTGGTGGCAAACTCAAGTTAAAAACAAAAGTCTTTGATATATTTTATCTTCCTACGTATAGATCTATTTTTAACTGAAAAAGCACGTAACGGCTATCATAAGGACGTTTATAGACTTTAAATTAGCGATACCAATTCATTCTAATCGCATTTGATATCAGACCGACTTATACGGTTAATTTTCTTGATCGTAAAACAAATTGTAATTAGTTGTATACATTTTGTAATATTTCGTGTGTATTTAATAAGATAAGTCTAATTCCTGGATGTAACTGCTAATTTTTAGATTGATTTATATAATTATCACGATTGGCAGAATAAAAGTCAATATTCTGAATTTTTAAGCTAAACTCATTTATTTGATAATAACAGTACAAGTAAATATACTACCAACAGAAACTATGACATATATGTTATCTATAGAAGCAAGCTACTTGCATAATCAAATATGAGAGGTGACGAGAACGTCTGATAGCCATGTGTAATGCGTGCAAAAAAATGAGTTTGATTCTGAAATTATCATCGATTTATCAGTGTAACATTAAGGTATTTATCGGATGAGTCAACGATTTGTTGTTAGATCGCAAGGTAAGCAATTCATATGCTGCAAAGCATAAGACAAAGAGTAAAATTTAATTTATGATCTATTGCAAACGAAAGTCATAGCGCTAATTTGGTACTAATATCATCTTATTGCGATATCAATTGACACGAAATTGTTGATATCATTATTGTAATAATTATTTAAAAGAAATTAGTCATATAATAATCAATTCTAATCGAATACTTTAGTTGTTATAACAAATATCGAATACTAACTTTTTTTTATTTCTTTGAGAAGGAAAATGCATGCATTTAAATGAAAGCGTATCAAAAGTAATTTTGTTACGACAATGCAATGATTTAGTGCATTGTTGTTTAAAATCAAGTTTGAATACAAAATTACCTGTGCTTGTGTAACATTTCAGCACTGACATTGAGAGATGATACTTCTTCACTATTGTGTTTTTTGATACTGCGACATTTGAAACAAGTTTTGCAAATATGATAAAGTATAGCTTGATTGAAAGAAATATTGAATATACGATTGAAGTTTAAAGAGAAGAAAATTATTGAAAGGTGAAAATTGAAAGTATTTTCAAATAAGTCTTAATTTATATTTTCTTCCGATATATTTCATAGCTCGGGAAAAAAAATGTCGAATTAGCCAATCTGTTATGATTTGCATTTAAATATCAACACTAGCCATTTTTATTTGATCGTATAATAAATATTTTGACTATCACTCATCGATTTCATTTTATGATGCTAATTATAGAAAATGGAAAGTAAGTATGAGAAAATTATTATGCTTGTAATTTTAAATTTGGCAAGTTTAATAATATTTCTATTTACAGCAAATTCTCCAGAATTTGAAACGCCGGCACGTGCAGAGCCACTCATATCTATGTTGGTGTAATGTATGCATTAATCCTCGTACTCTGCTATTGACATTGATTAATATTTTACTTGGGAGCTTACACTTTTTCCTTCCAAATATTCGATTGTTCACTTATGGTATATTGTATTTCCACTATGTACAATTATCAAAATATATATACTATGAAAGATTTAATATCTTTTTCAATATTTATATTTTGGATAACTATATCTTTTTTATAATTTAATGATATGAATGTGAGAAGTCTATCTAGATTGGTGCATCTAGATAATAAATTTAAGCTTGAAACAATTATGATTATCATACACATTTTCATCTCATATATATATATATATATATATATATATATATATATATATATATATATATATATAAGAGATGAAAATATGTGTGTGTATATATATATATTATACAAATAGTTAACTGAAATAAGTTAAAGTGCTTATTAAAGCGCTAACCAATTAAAGATTACACGTAGTACATTTGTAATTATTTCAAATTGGTATATCGAGCTGACAAATGGCAGTAATAATGAGACATCATGATTGGAGCACATTAATATTTAGAGCTCTATTATTCGCTAATATTTAAATTTAAAAAAGTGACTTATTTATTAGTGACGTGGTATTGAGAGTGAGTGAAAGAAGTATCAACTACTCAGTGTTTATTTATTCAAACAAAAATAATTCACAGTTTATTTCAATAATAAAATGTTTTTGCAGTGTCATAATTTTCATATCTTCAAACTTCTTACAAATTCTAATGAAAGAAAATTAATTTACCATGAACCTATATATCTCTAAAATGAATAAATGTATCTCCATATAAAACGCGGTGAAAATGAAAATCATTTGCTTACAAGTCAACAAGTATAACAATGTCGGTAATATTTTTCAATCAATCTTTGCACAGATAAATTTTTTTCTTAAGTAAAATCAATATTTACTACTTCTGATGGATATTTCCAGAATAGAGCATATTTATTAATTTATTAAACTAACCGGTCACATAACATTTTGTCACAGCTTTCATTTGAAATAAGTCAACTGCGATAAAAAATTCATGAAATTTCTCGTCTTTCGCACCATTTATTTGATTTTCGCAATCAATTTTTGATTTTGCACCAATTTTTTGATACCACATACAACTTGAACATTTAAGAAATAATTTTCTGTTCAAAAAAATTGAGAAATAATTTCTCAGATGATTCATTTTCACATCTTACGTTAATAATCATGAAAAATTCACTTTTTCGTGACTTGAAAATTTTATCAAGTAAACAGATAAGATGATATTTCTGTCAGATTTTATCTACACGGAGAAGGAAAGAACTTATTTATCTGTCGAAAGTAAAACAAAAATATATAAAACACCCTGTGTGACAAGCAGTAAAGAATAATCGACAAAAGAATAATTTTCCTCTGATGTTTTTATTAATGATTTCGTTGAAAGCTGCACAAATATAAATGCACTAATAATAAGCACGAACAATAGTAAATGATCCTGCTCCAACGTAATTTCTCGTTTAAGTTCGTCAAAATTGGATAGCCAAGGCCGTCACCTAAAACACCTTACGTATCTAAAAAAAAAAGGAATGAGAGGAGAGACAGAGATTCTTTCTGTCTGTCTCATATACACAGCGTTTTCGTTACAGCGCTCACACGCGCAGATACATACACATATACTCAGCTCCCGTTTCCATTTTATTTGTTGGCCGTCTCACTCGGCAACTCAGCAGCGGCGGCGGCAGCCACTGACACTCATTCAACCTCGCACACATATACTTAACCCGCGAGCAAGTGAGCGTACGTTCGCTAGACTCACTGCGCGTTTAGTACTGGCCGCGTCGCGATCGGCGCAACAGCTGTTACTCGTCGCAAGATAAGCTCGCGAGCGCGTACGCCGCTACGAGATAAGCCAAATAAATTCTTCGGGCCGCCTCTCACCGCCCTCAGTAATAATCTTCGAGTCGTGTATGTGTGCCACGAAACGTGAGCTTTCTCTGTTTTCCAAGCGCGTGTGGCACAAACAAAATAGAAATAACGTATATTCGCGTATCAGCGATCTGAAATAAAAATCTAGTGCTCCAGATTCGACGAAGCTGATGTATGGAAATTTAGACGCTAGGATTGTCAATAAGAACTGTGAACTGTCTCGAAACATCTATATTATATCGGGAAGGAAAAGAAAAGGCGATAAGTGCACAAAATTCTGTGATAAAAGACGGAGAAACAGCGATCGTTTTTTTGCGTATGTGTTTACGGTTGGAACAAGTGGAGTTTATGACATTGCAATTTCGTTATTGTTCTTTAGAGACGAATAATATACTTTATCAGTTGCACTGATTGCGCTAATTTAATTGCACGACTAAAGAGACTCGCTACTTTTAAAAATCGATTAAAATCGATCAGTCGTAATTATTCGACGTAAAAAGAAATTCCACTACTGAAACTCAAGCTAAAATATTTAAAAGTGAAACAGTTGCTGCATACGCAATTGAAATTGTACATGCTCTACGCGAGCTACATAAAGAATAAAAAAATAGAGTTGGTGACTGGTGTTGAAAAATCCAATGTCTAATTCGCAGTGAATTGTAATAACAGCAACACATACACACGCAGAGATATGTCGACGCGAAGCACGAGTGCCATATGAAGCTTGCCATATGAAAAGGCGTGATATAAACGCTAAGAAAAAGACACATTTATATTAATAACAAAAAGCAAAGCCATTCCAAATATTCAGAAATAGTAGCCAACGTCCCTACCACGCTGAGCCGGTACGGGACATACGCATACATGTACGAGTGTATTGTGCGCGTGTACATGAATGCATGAACGCGTGCGCGCGAGTATTCGTACTTGATATTGTGCACACGTAACTATAGTCTATCGCGAAGACACGAGAGTCTAACACGGAGACAGCGTAAGAAGCGCGAATTCAAAAGTCGCGTAGTGCGCACGCGCACCAAATCAGTCGAGGCAGTCGACAGCAACATTCAAAACTTCGGCTTTTTTTGATAACAAAGTGCGCGGCGGCGGCGGGGGCGAACTCTCGCGGTCGCTGCTGTATCATGACAATTTAACGACACGTGTCTATATACTATAATTGGTATATGCACTGTGCAGCTTATGCAGGATAAACACATGATGACTTTGGTGACGATCGATGTGTTTTGACGGTGAGTATCGTTATCATACTCCTTTTTGATTTTCTGTGCTACAAATATTTACATTGTGCGTAAGAAACTTTTTTGGGGGCGAATTATTTTGCGAAACCTTGCGGTTGATTTACGATCTCGTACTTCTTTCTAATTGTAAGCATGAAGAAATCAATTATTATGAGATGAAATGATAACACTTGTTTGTTTTGCTCAATTAAATAAGTATAATTTTAGTTATCTCTTTCATTGATATTTTTCTTCAAATCGCTCTTATCAGGTATTCTTGCGTTATGTAAGTTGGCGAGAGGACTTTTTCTGTATTATTCAAAGTGCCTTTGGAATTTTAATTAATTGAAGTTTATGCATCGATACTACTTGACAGTTATGCCAAGGTTTTAATTTTCGAGAGAATGAAAAAAAAGAAGAGATACGCAAACCTTGAATCCAGTGCAGACCAAATAACCTTGGTAGAAACCAGTTTCATTATAGGTAATTTCTCAGGAATCGGAGAAAAATTGTCAGACTTGTTTTTAAAAGGCAGTTTATTATTTCATAAGTATCAGTTATCCAAATTGTAAATGTACATTTCATTTTTCATATTTATTTACGATAGAATTATTTGTAGTTTAACAAATCAACAACTATAATATTGAATCCTATATCTATTTGTTTTAATAATAACATTGTGGTAATTTCAGTTATCATTGATTAATTTTTCGTGATAACTATAATTTTTAGTATAATAGTTAATATACATAAATTATAAAAATTATATACAGATCAATGTCACTTTAAGTTAGCTGTGACATTAAAAAGTACAAGTATCAAAATCACTTTATATAACATTATCATTATTTTACGTCGTAAAAAAATTTGCTGGCATAAAGCGGTGTTTTTATCTTTGCGGTGACAATCTTAATATGGCTGAGCGTTGTTCAGATAACAAAATAAGTCTAATAAGCTCGACACGCGTTTTGTCGCTTTTACAGCCGTATAATCAAAGTTACCAAAAGAAACAGCGGGAAAAAGAAAAAAAAGAACTTTTTTTACACGACAATGTTTTATAATGATAATTAATTGACACTAAATTAGCGGAAAGAACATCTTTATAAGGCCCTTTCTTGTTATCGAATTAAATGATTTATAATAGCCTATGCTGGTGGTATAAAGCTGATAACTTGCGATAGGTTTATTCATTGTTTTAAAAATAATTTTCCACTGCGTGAGAAGCTTAAGCTTTATTGCCCTATCCGGGAAATTGAAAAGCTAATATTAGTATCTTTATAGCTTGAAAAGGTAAAAGTTTCGACCTGGTTCTCTCAGTCACTATTCATCGACTTGCTGTTGATTGACCTAAAAATAATTTATTAAATATGATAAATAAATTTATATTGTACGTGTTCTATATTCTTTAAAAATAAAAATTTTTCAGTGACCATTGTATATTGCACTTGTCACATGAATATATCAAATCTTGTCGAAATATGATAAATAATTATGTGTGTGTGTGTGTGTAAGTAAAAATATATAAATACAATTATAGCTATAATATAAAATCACTTTTCTATCGTGCTGTAGGAATTGTTCTATTTATTTTTGTAAGATTTACAACGTTACGAACGTGTCACGCCAAGTGATAAAAATGTTATCTTTAGATTAAAAAAATTATATTTGCAAGAAAATGCTAGCCCAAGTTACGAAATACCTTTGTTAAATTTGATAATCTCTCAGCGAATCTCAGTAAAATAAAAAATCAGCGGAAACAGAAGGATAATGGAAATAGGGATTGCGAACTTATTTTAATTTTACCATATTATTTTTATTGTTTATAAGCTCGACATCAAAAGTCCAAATAATTTAACTATTAAAGTTAACTAAAAATTTCATCGGTCGTTAAAATTGTACGTAAGTAATGTTCACGTTATATTTGTCAGTGTTATACTTGATACAAACTTAATGCTCAATTTGCCAGCCTGGGGCCGCAGTAAACAAAAAACTATCACATGTACTTTGCGGGTAAATTTTCAGCGTTTATAGTGAAAATGTTATCATATATGTCCAAGAGTTGACTGTTTTTCATACGAAATAGTCTTTGAAAATTTTAATTTGTTTCATAAAAATAATTTAACATCGCAATGAGTATTCGGTATTCATGTAAACGTTACAATATCTCTGAAGCACGTATGCGTGTGTACTTTTATTTATCAGTCTTGATTACAACGTAAAATCATGCGTCTTTTATTGATACAGTCGTCCTAAATACACATGCATAAATCGTACAATCAATGTTAAAATATAAATACATCCAGAACACAAAAAGAAAGATAAGGATCACACAGCAAATGCATATATATATATATATATATATATATATATATATATATATATATATATATATATATATATATATATATATATATATATATATATATATATATATATATATATAAACTCTTTGATTTTACAGCTGAATGAGCGAACATCATTCGTATTGAATTTTCAAATTCACTGTGCTCCCTAAAAACAGAAGATCAGGCATTTTATTTTATCTTTCAACGCGAGTGTGCGATGAAGGGTATGTATAATTCATACTTAACGATGATCTGTATGTACAAATCATACCTAACGATTAAAGCTCACAGGCACGTGGAAACTACGTGACCTACAAATGAATGTCAATAATAGTACTTCAATAGCTTCCCACATTATATTTACCGTGTCAATCTCGCGACCAATAGAAGTTTCTTGAACTTTTGCACGGAAATAGCCGTGTTCAATTTTTTTAGAAGGTATAATGGGAGATCTGACGAGATTGTCGTACGTCTTTTTTTCTTCGTCCCAGTGATACAAGTCGCGCGTATTATAATTGTTTCGGCGCGACTAAAATATCTAAATATAGCATCGGGATTCTCTTGCGGAGGAATCCACGCATGTGACGACGAGACGCCTAGTCGTGTCGGCAGGCGCATTAAGAAATGAAAGGAAAACTAGAATAAACAGATGCAGGACATGTTTTGGCGTATGTTGTATAGAGGTTCACGTTGATGATATCGCGTCAGTGAAGAAACTGAACGCACGATACTATCTTCGACCTACCTACCACGTCTTTTTATTTATTTATTGCAAAGACATTGTCCTGCATTTGAATATTCTTTCGAAGGTATGATTAGGGTGCATTTTTGAATTTAAAAAAGATTCTTTTGGAATGCGCTTTATTTTCTGAGTCACGACCTACATTTTTTACAAGGATATAATATTTTATTGATTTTAATTAATATTCGAGATGCAATTACAAGTGAATAGATTTGATCGACCTTTACAAGAAAGAAAAAAATGTTGCTTTCTCAACTGAAGTTTTCGATATAAGTCCACTGATAAGCTCGTTAAGTCTGAATATCAATGTGTCTGCGGCGAACATTATGTAACGATTTATATGTACGTGCCGATATCACTATTCGGAAGCATCGATAATTTGAATAAAATTTATCCGTTGTACGCTTGTGTCTTAATTAACAATTTCATAATTCAGTAGCGGAAAAGTAGAGCAAATGAATATAAAACGTATTTCGATGTTTCTCGATGCTCTAGACAATTTTTTTTAAATCTTTCGAATTTTCAAGTCACAAATTTGATTAAAATAACATCAGACAGTAAATATCGAAAAAATTCACAGCGATTGCGCTACTTCCAAAAAGCAATTTACACAGTTGCTACATTCATTTGAATAAAAGAACCCCGAAATAAAAGAAGTGCACACTGAAGTCAAAATGAAACCATTCTTAGATAAAGATCTCGATTTTGCTCAGTGTAACAAAGAAAACATCGTTTCTTGTTTTTACAACTCTCGACGTTTTTTACAGCCGCTGTACGTCAAGTAATAAAACCCTTGGCGTAAAGACGTCATCCTGACGCGTAAACAAATAAAATCCCGTCGTGCGATTTGCCGAGTAAAGCTCTCTTTAAACACGATTTCCAGAAGGCAACAGGGGAAAATAAAAGTAAGTGTGATGCACTTGTGCACGCGTGTCTCCGTGAGGGACACTTTTTTAATTACGGTCACGGCGGCAACAAAATACATTCACACACACCAACACGAGTGCGTGAAAATTAAAGTCGACAGTGGCGTTGATGGAACGAGTTTTACCGGTTCTATAATTAATATACACACGTGCTACCGAGCAGCAATTTTCATAATGCATATATATGCATCTCCCACTCCTGATAACATCCAATAGCATAGCTAACTGCCTGAGTATACGTATACGTTCTCTCTGTCGAACTCAGTCGTGAGAAGGCGGCCGATCGCGCGAGCCTCTCTCTCTTTCTCTTGCACATGCACCAACTTTTTATTTCTCTAGGAGATATAATTTTTTTAGTGATGAAAGTTCAGTGTTTTTTTTTATGCGAAAACGACTACCGCACTTTCATAAGATCGCGTATTGCGAGTGTTTGTTCAAGTTCGCTACAAGAATCAGAACAGCTCTAACCGATTTGTCGTTTTAAACGTATGCTTGAATGAGGTAGAAAAGGTAGAGATCTGTTTTAGTGTGTTAAGTGACGCGAGCAATTTTACAAAGTTGGTCGCTGCTTTTGATTAGGAGTGTTTTGATAATTAAAAGTATTACGCAAAAATTCTCAGGCATGACGTGTGCGAAGTGGTTGATGTTTTCTGGCGCTAATTTCCAAATTTGCTTGACCTAAAAATTCAACATTGTATAAATTTTCGTTAACCTAGCGTTAATCAATGGATATTTTGAGATATTCTATGCGGCATACTACAAAAATGTACGATTTCTGAAGTTTTACTAATGTACTGTGAAGACTTAATAATTAATGCTAATTATGCAGAGTTGATACACAAATTCAAATATACTTTATTGATGATGAAACACCATTTATTAAAAACTTAAGCACAGTTTTAATTGAATTTATGTGGCTGATAATAGCGACATTAATTACATTTTTTACTATGAAAATTTTAGTTTGAGGCTTAAAAAATCGATAATATGTTTGAATTGCCTTCAATACAAATACAATTGATAAGGAAATAAAAAAAACTTATTATGCATCAATATTATGATGAAAACTTGAGACCGTGAAAAATATCCATAGTGTTTGCTGTTCACTGATGGTAACGTTGTTATTAATGAAATGTTGATATTTATTTTCTGAATGGCGTAAAAATTAACATCGATGTTTATAATTTAAACAAGTTTCACCGATGCTTCTTAATTTAATGAAATATTCAAAGAAAACGTAGAACACTGATAAAAGTGAAAAAAGAGAAATTCACGCAACAAGTTTTATATAAAAACATGAAGGATTCATTTTAAAAATCCGTAAAAATACTGATATTTTCACAGATGTCTTGAAAAGACGATTAATCGTATTTTAATAAGGTCAAGAAAAGCATCGGCGCTCGGCAATGACTAAGCACGCAATTAATTTATATTTTTCTTTCTCGGCGATAAAGTAAGACAAATAAATACCGCCTAGCACTTGAATCGATGAACATTTTTCCAAATTATAACACTATATATTCCATTTTACTATGAATTTCATTAGCCGATAAATTGACCTTTAATTGTATGGACGAGTGGCAAGTGTTATAAAATTTTATTCACATGCTTACAGAAATGTGCGAGTCCCTGGAAGTTGTTCGAATTCTGGACGTTAACGAGACTTTACTTAAGACAAGGTGTCGACGAAATAGGTGAGAATACGTATAAACACTAGTATAATCTTGTTAATTTATGACCTTGTCTTCTTCTTAATCGTTTTGATATTCTTAGCAACGTTAGTAGCGCAATACCAGATTCGTGAAAACTAGAAGTCGCATTGTAAAAAATAAAAAAGCTTTCATAGAACATGGTGTGAAAAGATTGAAAGTTCACTTATTACATGATATCTCTAAATCAACCTTGGGTTTTTATTGACAAATATATCTAAGTTCATCTTGAAGGTTGATTAGATTCTCAAAAAGAAAAGTGATGTCGATTCACAATTATGTTCAGTTCTTCAAAGTATTATCTATGAATCGTATTGAGTTGTGAAAAATTATTAATTTGCCCTTGAGCATCTGAAATAATTGGATGCATGAGTTAAGAAAGCAGTTTGCACTTATTGTCCGTCATGTCTGCTTGAATCGAAAAAGTAACGTTACCTTGTGACGACAACAAAACATTATCATTATCTGGTATAAGATCATAAGCATCGTTCAATAGCCTTATATTCATCAATAAACGTCTTATGAACATCGTGTATTAATGAAATCCGTCATTTATGGTGAATTAAAAATTGACGTTTTTCGCATGACTTATGTTGAAACAAATAACGAATTGTCAAAGTGTATATAGTTGATGAGAAAACTACAATCAATGAGAAATAACCCAGCTTGTTATAAATATGTTGTACGGTAACAAATTATATATCTGTCGCAAGAAACATAATTGCCTTTCCTTTAACTGTTTCTGTCGCCATGCCTTTATACACATAAAACGTGAAATACCCACTGTTCGAAAACTATGAGATTAACAAGAAATCCATCATTGTTATCAGCTGATAGATCATTTTATCAAGGGAATCCCGTAGTAATGAAGTCAAGAATCCACTTAAAAGTTGAGTATTTTATAGTGTGATAGCAAAGCGGGAATCCCTGTTTGAGAAGCGAAATACGTATTTGCGTATCAACTTATTACTTGTGGTAGTGAATATGAATCCTTTTTCTTCCTCACTCTCGGTTATTTTATTTTTCCTCCGCCAATATTTGTGCGTATATGCATCAAATATATGAATAAATCTGTGCAACATTAGAACATTAGAGGAATTATAATCATAATCTAAATAAATAAATGTAAATTTATTACAGTAAGTAAAAATCTTTAGTTAGTAAAAAATGTGTTTTTACAATTTTTCGTAACGTTAAAGAATGCTAGTAGTAATATATTTACGTCATAGTAGAGTACAATAAGTTATCTAGTCGTTATCAGACTATTTACTTTTAAACTAATGAAATTTAAAAACTTGTTTTGAAAAAATTCTTTTAGTTATTATTATCTTAATGACATTTACATTTGCAAAAGTAATTTTCTAATCGGAAATTGCGACAAACACGCAGCTTTGAAATTTAACGATTATACTTTTATGTATGTCTTTTCTTTTTGTTTGGAAAATTAAATATTTTAGTTAATTATTCATGGTAGAGTGCAGTCATAAAGTAATAAACACAAAGAAAGATAAAAGCACTAAGCAAAAATAAAAATAAACCTACGTTCTTAGACAGAAAAAAAAGGTTTAATCATGATTCTTGCAATCGGCCGAATACACGACAATCCTGAGAAGAAAATTTGTCCGTTGGTTAATTTATCAGTGCGATTGATTGAGTAACCGTCGACTTGATTCACGTGTTTTCTAAGTTATTACGAAGAATCTCAAGTTTTTTCTCTCTTTCAAAAATTAACATTTACCGGACACACGCGTACGTGAAATCGACAAATTTTCAAAGCTATTGACGTCAATACGAGCGTAGCGATTTACGTCTTATTAGATATAGTTAAGAGATGAGCGTGTACGAGTGCGCGCGAAGGCACCTAATTACTCGATAATGAAGCCCGCATCAATGACAATATACACGCAAACAAATATACATGTAAAACTCTAAATACGTTTTTTCTACGTGTAATTTATTGCTGGTGTATATCGAGAAATGAGTTTACGTTGGTACTGCCGATATTCAAATGTCAGACTATCAGCAGATCTTTTAGCACTTGTTTGTTGACTAGGCTCTATTTTAATTCAAAAACCTCGCCACGTCAGCTAACCATAAACAATTAATAATTTCAATTTTTATCGCGTTACTTTGAAAATAAATAGTTTGTTAGAGCTGTTTCTTATGTACTATAAGTTATCGTGTATTTTGGTATAAATTTGAAAAAAAATATACATCTTCAAATACTTTGTGTTGAAATATAGTGTATTAATAGAAATGGCAGTTAAATCAATTTTATGAAGTTATTACGGACATAATGGTTTACCTAGACATTAATAAGCGACTATTGGTTAATAAGTTTTTTATTCACATCGATGATGTTGCAATGACAACTATGCGGGTATGATGTATTTTTTACTTGCCATCGTTTCAGAGTTTTCGATGCGATGTATGTGACTTTTAATTTTTTTTATTATTTTGCCTATTATCAAAACTGTAATCCAATTTATTTGAAAGTTTTAACTACAAAAATACTATGTAATGTTTTAGTTTAAAAGCTTCTATAACACAGGTCTGCAAAATAAAAGACTTTTTTTACTCCAAGAATACCAGTTATATATCCGTACAGGATTTTGATGCGCTGAACATGTATCTGGCCTCGAAATTGCTCGATCACGACTCACTTTCGGGGTATCGTAACCTACAAGTGCAAAAAACACGTTTTTTGGCTATATTTGAGTTTTTACTACATCACGAGAACATTTTTGTTTCTATAAACGACTCATATCATCTAAAAGTACAATTCTAATCCTTTAAATCCCAAAAGAAATTTCTCGTGATGTAGTAAAAGCTCAAATATAGCCATAAAACGTATTTTATGCACTTTTAGGTTAGCTATTTCGAAAGTGTGGAATATAAATAATAGAACAATTTCAGGGACGGATTCGTGTTCAGCGCATCGAAATTCTTTGGAATGCATTACTGATATTCTTGGAAAAATTTGATGTTGACCTGTGTAATCCTACATTAATTGATATCACGAGATATTGTTCTGTATCGATTAAAAAAATAACGAAAAATTGTAGGTGATTTGAAAGTCAAGGCTTAAATTATTCGTTTTTAAATGACCAATTAATTGTACAGAATCATTTAAGTCTTTAAAGTAACTTAACTTTATACTTTCTTTTATAAAGTTTATTTTATCGTAAATGATGGATGAGACGGATATTTGAAATAAAAATTTCTTTATTCATCATTTATCTGTCTTATCTTTAGAAAAGCATTTTTAATTTCTAATATAATAAATAAATAATGATGATTTTTAAAATGTTAGTATCGAACAAAAAGTAACACTAATAAATGTAATATTATGTTTCAGCGCAATACCTAGCCTGTCGATCATGGCAAGAATTCGCCTACCAGAAAAGATTGAAAATAAGCCAGCCACGACGCCTATAAAGGTTGAGCAACGTACACCATCCACTTCTACAAAGATGGCTTCAAGTTTGAGTAGTTTAAGTTCGGATTCGTATTCTTCGAGTCCTGAAACGAATGAATTGAAATTTCCTTTGAACATCAGTGATATTATCAGTAGTGTAAACAATATAATTCTTGTGAGTTCAGACGATGATAAAACAGGAAATTCGTCTGACGAAAATGAAGGCTACGCATGTGAAAAGAATATTGTTGATTCTGACGATGGAAAATTCGAGAAGTTTAGTGATGAAGATGATGATAGTGTCCACACTTTGAAGTTCGTGTATGAAAGAAATATTTTCACTAACAGTGACGAAGACTCAGAAAAAGATAATGATAAAATTAACAATGGCGAGGATTCACTATTTCATCAAAAAAGTAAAATTTTCAAACTCAGCAATGGCAAATCAAGTGAACTGAGTGAAAATAACGATGAAAACGATGATTATGATGACCATATAAACGGTTTAATTGAAAGAGGACCAGTTAGGCCACAATTGCATTCTGTGAATCGTTCGAAACCTTACGTTGAGTCAGCTCACCAATGGCCAAGTTCGGACATACTGCCATCACAACCATCACCTAGTGAAAATTCAACCGACTATGATACCAGTGCAAAGGCCATCCTTACAGATAAAGAGTACAGGCAAAGAATTGATCTATGTCTTGATCAACTGTCCGATATGGGACAAGATCAATCGGTTGTAAATTCACTGTCACCCGGTGATTCAGATTTCGGAGGAACACTGAATTATTCGGTGAGACTTTATGCATAAAATTTGTAATTAAAGTTTGAATATTATCAAATCTTTTAACAATTGAATTACGGAACTTCTTTTTAATCAAACCAGACAACTCACGTCATTTTCTGAAAAAAACTTCGACGAACTATCTGCATATTCCTGAATTATCTCACTAATGAAATAGTGCTTATCACTGTGTGAAAATCAATTATCAAAATATAATCGAGTAGGCTAAATACAGTTTATTCAATTTTTTTCTCGGTTGTGAAGTGCAGTGAAAACTTACCCGCATTCGTTACCAATAAAGATAATAAAATTTATGATGAATGCCTATTGGTATAGTTTTCTTTCAATTTAAAAGACAGAATAAATTATACGGTGTTTGAAATAATAAAAAAAAGTCTTTTAGAAAATCTTATGAAGATCTTTTTCTTTATTACATCAGTCAAAAACCGGGAGAGTATTTATAATTTTTAAACGTTGATGTGACGTTAAATGTACATGTTTAACATTTGTATATATTGAAACTCGTTTAAAAATCTCAAAAACGTCGATTATGTAATCACGTTTAGTGTTGTTGATATGAATTGGGTTATTCAATATTATTTGTTAATAACGAATGAATTTAATAGAAACAAATATAAAACAAAATATTTAAGGAATATAATATTAAATTACATGATATCTATTACTATTACATGATATCTATTACTATTACATGATATCTATTACATGATATCTATTACTCAATTTCAATGCAGCTACAAAAATTTTTTAATGATAAAATAAATTTGTTTATAGCCACAACAGCCTTATCAATGGCAGCCCGACCAGTCGCCCAACAGCGTCCGTAGTAACAGTTCATCAACATATTTCGTCCCTTCCATCAAAATTGGTGACTCGGAAAGCACAATATTAGAAGTACTATCCCGTCATAGTCTACAGCGACCTGTTTATCAGTCAGTTGTACAGACTCCAGATTACAACAGCGGTGCAAGCACAGCCGCTTGTGATAATTATCCTGAATCACCGGCGAGCAGTTACAATGCTTGTGCTACTTCAACATCTCGACCCGAAAGTCGTGCCTCTAGCAGGGCACAATCACCGGGATCTAACAACGGGGGATGTGCAAGCACTGGAAACTTCTTCAATTTACTTGCCAGCTCTTTGAACTCTCCTCAGGTAAGAAAACACTCATAAAGTTAATAATTAGCTGTTACGCTTATTTCTAATATAGATTCTGTTCGTTAATTCTACGATATTTGCAGCTTTTACCATTGCAACAGTAATATTTGAAATTCAAATTTATTGCAAGGCCAAATAAAACCGCTAAAATTTAGTTTGATTAAATGTCATTGCAAACTATCCTGTAAGAAATGTCACCAGTTTCTGATCATCACTGGCCAGCTTATGCCATAAATTGGCCTCTTGTAGCCAGAAACTGATGAAATCTGACAGAATATTATCTTTTCAGATCGTTGAAGGAAAATTCTTTGGCTAATTCGTAATATTGCGAAAATAAATAAAATGCAATTAAGGCAATATTAGAAAAATCGTCATTCACAAATAATGACATTCGTAAGTTGCAATCTCAAATGTCTAAGAACCATAAAGGATATTTATATATAATTAAAATGATTCACTGCCATATATCGTAAACATGTTGAATGTCTTTTAATCGAAAAAGTTATAAACATGTATATACCAGATATGCAAGAATCAGAGTATGTCACTAGCTAATTTCCAGGAAATGTATGCAAAACCGCAACGAAATATTCGAATGTTCATTTGTGAGAGAAAACTCTAGTATTTTAGTACAAAAAGAGTTCATTCTGTACGGTATTTCTAGAGTTCCAAGTTCCGCGTTATAATATCGCTTATCCTACAATTGTCACATCCTATAGCATCAAGTTCATACTTTTTATTCCATTTTGTGTTCGATTAGATAGACAATGCCTAGTTACCGTCAGTTTTTTACACAAAGCATGTGGCTTTCTACACTGTCGATTGTCAACTTATGATCGGTACTTCATAATTTTTCAACTCGCCAAGTTACGCACATATTGAAACAATTGTTTGTCGATATTATACGTGTATTCACTTGAATACGATTAATCAATTAGATATCTAGCAACAGGAAACTTTTTGTTCATACATATTGGTATGTTACTGTTGAATCAACCTGTCACTATCATGTTTTGCAAAGTAAACTTTACTCTCAGCGTCAATGTAGCGTGATATGAATTATCTTTTCGTAATGTTCGATTACAGATGTTAAGTGAATTATTTTTATTCGAGCTAAACTTGAATCTCGTTACAAAATGATTACAGGTATCACCACAGAATTTTCGAAATCAACACCGTCCATCTTCATCATCGTCATCGAGTCAGTCATATTGTGAAACTCCTAGTCCAGCCAATTACCAAAATCCTTTGGAGCAGCATATCGAAGAAAAACTAGGTGACCACATGATGACACGAATGCCAGCCTGGTATGATAGTTTCAAATCTTCTGACACTTTGGTTAATAGTGTCGGTAGCAGTGAACTTCAACTTCAATTGGTTGAAGAAGTTATTCGTGGTGACATGAAAGACCAGCCAAAATCTAATGACATGCAAGTTGTACCTAACTGTCAAACTTCATCATCTTCAACATCTGTTGCAAGTTGTTCAATGAACAATATCAATCCATCAATACCCAGTGAAAACTATACATATACGTGTCATGACAACGAGACTACAGATGACTTGACAAATACTCTGCTAAGATTCGTCGGCAGTGCACAAACCATTCCTTCACACAGAAAAGTTGAGGCGAGGAACAACTCTTCAACAACTTCTGGATATAACAGTAATAGTAGAAGCAACGAAGCCAGAAAACTCAGTCAAGACAGTGCATGTTTATCTTTGGATCAACCAATTCAGACTACCTTCTTGGAAAGTTTTAGAAGTCCTCCAAGATCACAACCTCAGCGATCGGTAATAATTATATTTTGTAAACTTATTACTCAATAAAAGTAACATTCCATCTCATGAACTCTCATCAGATTTATCAACAGTCATCTATGAGTCTTAGTCCAGTAATGGCTACGGAAGCTTTACACTTTCCTACATCACCTATAGAATTAATGGGTAGAAATAGGTGGAACAATTATCCAGAGCGAAATACAGTCGTGGCCAATCTGCAGACATACAGCAAAAACTTTACCGAGTTTCAGATACCAGAAACTGTCACGTCCTACAACTCACAAATGACTAAGACGTAAGGAGAATATATATTCATTATATATTATGGTCCCGTTTGAATATATCGAAACAAGTCGTTAATACAGATTATCATCTGATGCCAACGTTGCAAATACAAAAGCGCGCGACAATCGCTTGAAATTTGATATTCTTTGTTCTTTCTATTCAAAGTTTCGAATTATATAAGCGAATTCAACATCGAAGATAAGAATTTCAACGCAAAGAGAAAAGAAACGTTTTCTAAAAGTGTAATGCGAATCTTTTTGTAAAACATACTGTCCCTCATCGAATATGATAGACTGTTTGAACAATTGTCAGTCGTACAATCTTTTTAAAAATACTCTTGCATAACTATCATTTTAAGACACCGTACTAGTAATTTTGTTCTTTATTCGTACTTCAATTACTCATCAACGAATATTCCATACGTCACGGTAAAGTAATTAAAGCAAGGTAATCAAGCTTGAAGTTTCAATTGGTCGCAAACTAAATCTCAATTGAAAGGTCTCTCTCTCTCTCTCTCTCTCTCTCTCTCTCTCTCTCTCTCTCTCTCTCTCTCTCTCTCTCTCTCTGTCACGCGCGACTGCGCAAATGAAGTTAGAATCACAATAGTTTGTCTGCCCCCGATAGCATTTGCTAAGATCAACAGTTCAGCGAAAAGCAATTGGCTGACATTGGAATTTATTTGACAGCACGAGCAAGAGTAAGACTAGTGGTAGTGAGCGTAGTATTGCCCCGTGGCCCTCCTTGAATCTGCCATCGACGAGGGCGTCTGAACGTCTCAAGGAAGTCACCGATCCACGCGAGGTCGAAAGGGCGATGAAGAATCTCTTGAAGCAACCCCTTGAAAAGCTTGCCAAGACCGATGATGACGGAGACACGTAAGTTTATGGCCGATTATAATCCCTTTTGTGGGCTTCTATTTTTTTCTATGAGTGCAATAGAGGGTGAAAGAGATTCCCGATATGCTATTTTTCGAAAATAAGGTTTAATATTTCAATGCATGATATGTAAATAATGTGTTCAATAGGACATTTAATTAGGTCAATCTCATGACTTCCTTGATACATAAAAATCACTTGCTAACCAATACTTTAAATTAGTTGTCATTCTGATAAAGTACTTGTAATATATTTTGATAATATGTTCAACACTGCAAATGGAATTTTAGATTTTTCTATAATATATTTATATTTACACTTAAAAAATAGTTAAACGATACCGCAAGTTAGAAGTTAATTATAGATCAATTCTTTCTTTATATGTAAGTTTAGCATCATTTAGATAATGTGCAGTTGTTCGATTGTCGGCATACTTTAATACCAACAAACTACCTGACATGATGAATGAAACTTAAGTTACCGGATATTTTTGAGATATGATTTCAAATTTAAAAAAAGAACTCATGTAATAAAGTATTTAACAGTATTTAATTATGATTTTCCATAATACGAAAGTATTCGTGAAATAATCAATATAACTTCCGTTGGTTAACATATTCAGTTGAAACTAACTCCGGATTAACCGCGCATTTCTTTTTATGCTTAAAGAATTTGAAACATTCCTTGATACGTGATCAAATCTACGTATACTTATTAGGTTTATAAATGACCATCATATAACGATAAAAACGCCTATAAGAGGGAATTACAAGTTTTTTATACGAATATACGTTGGCTTCTAATTGATTAACTAATTAGGTGATTAAACATCAAAGGAAATTCAAAGCAAAATTTCTAAATTCAGTCTTTCAGACATACATTATTCTATCAGAACTGTCACAATGTGAATAACATGTAGTTATACAAATTAATATTAATGTTCGTTGCAGTGTACACATTTTCGTTACAACATTTTTATGTACATGGGCGCCTAATAAGGAAAAAGAAATATTATAATTTTGTCTATGAGCGATAATAATAACGACAAAAATACTCGTGCCTAGAGATATGAAAGTATAAGTAAATAATCGTGAAATAAATTACAGTGAAACCTCGATAATTCGACTAGTCTAACCTCGAATTACCATGGTAAATTTGGTGAAAAGATTTAAAAAATTCAAATTTCTAAGTATCTGTCATTTACATATTTATTTATTGAAAAAAAACCACAATTCATATAAAATTGAAACACACGTAAACATTAATATTATTCATATGCAATTATATATCGACCCAATGTATATCGTTTTCTATCAGTAATACTGTTGCTAATAAATACTACTTTTATTAATATGTTGTATCACCTACATTGATATAAATTGGCAATGAGGTAAAATACATTTTTTTTCACTATATTTTCTAAATGTCCAGAAGAGAAATCGCAAAAGGAAACATCTAACGAACGAGCGGCTCCATTTCTACTAATACTGATTTAGCAAAAGTTTCAAACTTCATACTTAAAAAAACAAATTTAAAACAAACAATAACTGATGATTACCAATCAATGATTAGAATTGTCCATCAACATGCTAATATGTAGCGAATGATATTAGTAAGACTTCAATGGTATGGGGCATTTTTGTCAAGATCTAAATATGAAGTTGAGTTCAAAAAATGTAGCGACAATACCGATGCTGATGATCTATCAAGAGCATTAATTCCTTTCAGTTCTCATACTGATGAAGCCATCAATGATGACGTAGATGTTTTATGCGAAGAGTCAGTCTTACCTATTTCAACACTGAGTATTATAATTGAATTAATCCGCAATGAAATCCGAAAGGGTATTTACTTATGAAAAACTTTTGGAAGATCTCAAACAAAATTAAAACTTTACTTATAAATTTACTATTGACAACGACATTTTATTCCAAGATCAACGAGTCCTTCCAAAAACACTTCAATCGTCAGTTTTACAAGAACTATGTCGAACTCACATTGGATCCTAAAAAATCAAGCAGTTTGCTCGTCGATACATTTATCGGAAAAGTATCGACAAAGATATCGAATGTTTACTTCGATCATGCGAATAATCATGCAATAATAGGTTGCAGTAGAAACTTGGTACGATCATTAAGAAATTTAAACAACTACATTATTTGGTGGTGCTAGATAGCGGATACATATTCAAACGTCACATCGATCAATTAATTAAGACGATATTAAAAAAATCAACCATCGCTGTAATTAAACCAATCAAATCAATAGAATATTGTCCAACAGAAACATAATTCAACAAAAGTTGGAGATTTAATTTTATTTCTATCAAACATACCAAACCAACTATTACAGTTACAACTTCCGGTAGAAATTGATCAAGACGAGCCAGTTTAATAACAATAAGAAGAAAATGACATACCAGAACAAATAAGTATGGGAGAATTTTGTTACAAAATCCTCCTTTTATAAAAAAGAGTACCTGATAAATAGTGAAGCCAGTTTATTTGTGATCTGATTAACTAGCGTGATCAGTTATTATGTGATAGTTTACGTTGTGTACGCTTATAAAAGATTAATGTAGATTTTCGTAGATGATTAAATGATCAAAAAGAGTATCACCTGTGACGGTAATCGTCAAGTTAGCGCTAATCATTTAACCTTATTGTTGTCCGTGAGGGCAGCACCTCCCAGGGGGGACAAAAACATGTAACGAAGGAATTCGGCACGCGAGCAGACGGAACGCGCGCGACAAGATTCGAACGAGTGAAGCATCAACCTTTGTTGTGTCCGCCCGTTTCGCTATCGTATCGCCGCTGATCCACGTGCCTTCGCTGACCGTACATCAGATCGACGAGAGGACCACAGCAGATACAGCCGTGATAACCGCCATCCAGGAGCCAGACGTCCGATCACCTGAGGCCAGGACGAGTGAACGAGTGTGTGTATGAGGTTTCGCCATCGAGGGCGAAACCATAACGTGCGCGCGTTCGCGACCGGCAACAAAAACAATACAATTAACTGTTCCGTGCTGTGCAACCCGTCATAGTGTTCTCCGGTCGCAGATAAGTAAGGTAAGCTGGCCAGCTTAATTACGCGTTCGGAATTACATGAATGAATAATAACTCGATGCTAACATTCGATGCGTGTATATAACGGCTCTAGCGACAAAGAGCAGCGAGCGTACCGGCAAAGCGTGTTGCCGATGAGCGAGCGTGTATGTAAACAAACGCGCGGGCCGACCTTTTGTGAGTTTTGAGGAAACAATAAAAGATCTGATTTAGCTTACTAACAAGTGTTTTCGTTAATTCTCTCATTTCTCATAGCTTCTACTCAATTCCGAATAGGTTATTAATGATTACAGGTTGACTGAGGCATACTTTCTCGTGCTCCCCGAATTCGTATTGAGCATTGATAGATACGCGTGTCCTTTCGAATATAATTACGCGATTTAATTAATTAAACGGTTATACCCCGTTACATGGCGCCCAACGTTAAAGAACCTACGGTGTTTTTGATAGTGCAAAACACCGGTTCTTAACAATAAACTCGCGCCCAGTCAACCAACGACTTAGGTGGCAGTCAAGTGTTGTTATGCACACTTGACACCGAAGGCCACAATAATAAACAAACACGTTAGCTAGCTTGCGAAGGCCCACCGCGGCGAAAATTTGTAAACAAAACCTGTGAACGCGTGCGAGTGCAACCGACAGATTCTAGTACGTAAACACCAGCGAATTTTGAAAGTTGCCGCAAATAATATTATACCCGTTGGCCCGGGGAAAAACTAACACCGGCAATTTTCAAACGGAATTATTTCAATTGAATAATTTTGTTCGACATTGTATTGCGTTAGCATATTTTTTTTAATATTATGTACTGCGGTTATTGGTGTTTACGTATAACGCTCGTAACAATATTTTAGATACTAACTCACACAACCGTGCTAACAAACAGTTAGTACGCCTGATAGGTAGGATCATTATATTGCGTATTGACGAGCAAAGAATCTCTCGGCAACCAATCCAATAAGCGCCCTTGATCAAGCCCTGTGTTGGCAAATAAAATTTTTTTTTATTTCTCAATTCGGCGCACCAATTATAAAATAACACTCGCACGCGCATAACATACTTGTAATTTTGCAAAAATCAACCGCAAGCAACCTAACAGAAAATAATGGACCGCACTCAGACCGAAGTAGAAAATTGGGTATGGACGCTCCAAGACGAGGAAATCGAAGAATACCTCGACCAGCTGGAGCTCAAGACAAGCGGGAGTAAGCTCTCGAGAGCTGCGCGACTGCACAACTGGCTACTCGGCGACTATTCCGCAGCGGATTTCGCGGAAGCCGACAACCAACACAGCAGTCCAGCCAAAAGAGCCGCCCTACGCTCGGAGCTGATAGTATCCATATGCCAGGAACACACAGCATCCGAGCAGGAGGGAGAACATCCGCTGGCCCAACTACTACAGAGTGCGGACGTAATATCGCGAGTCCAGCAAACCGCAATAAACATCACGAATGCCCTGGACGGCGGAGAAAATATAAACAGTAATAAAGAAATTACTATCACGGCTGACGATGGCAGCCAATTCAGACTCCCGCCGGAATTCGCGGTAATGGTACAAGACCTCATTTTCCGGTCCAGGGAACATGAGAGAAAATGGGAGGTACAAGACGCAAAGAACTTAAATGCGTCTAACCTAACCCATATAGTAGAACAGATTGTCAGTACCAACATTAAGGCTCAGGAACAAATAGACAACCTGTCAACCAGAATTAAGGCTCTGGAAAAGACCGTACACAGAGATGCACGGCAAGACGAGTCGAACAGTTCCAACGAGGAGCCACGTCCGGAAAACACGCGTAGGAGCGTAGCATTTCAAGATACGTTCACATGCCATTACGACGCCAGGCTGCCCCAGAGCACTCCAGCCGGACCCGGACTGAGGCCCACGGGGGCCGCCGGTAGGACCCCCCGCCGGACGCCCCATTTCGGAGA